CAAGGACCTGAATTACACTTGGTATTTAGCTACAATTATCATAGATGACATGAATCTGAAAACATTTGGGTTGGTGTTGTTTAGAGAGTCTGAGTGTGCACCTCATGGGATCCTGTGCTGGAAGCTTGGCCTCAACCATGGTAAGATGAAGATGTGGAGAACTTTCAAGAGGTGAGGCATAAATGGAATGTCAGGGAGCTGGCCTGTATTCCCACTACTCCCATGGGCTGAGATAGGAAGGCTGCATGTTCAAGCCCAGTGTGGGCAACATAACCACTCAATGAGACCCAGTATCAAAACAAAGGAGAAAGAAAGGTTGAGGATGCAGCTGAGGCAAGTGCCCTGTGTTCAAATCACAGCATACACTGAGGAGGCTGATGGGGAAAAGTGACCCGGCCCACAGGTCAATCCGAATCTGTAGGGCAGTTTCCTGGGGAAGGAACGGGGATTGAAAGATGCAGGGTAGGAGACAGAGAGACAGACAAGTCAAGGAAGTTCGATCAAGCCTCATTTATTGACAAAATGGTCGCGGCTTTTATAGGGCAGGGGGCAGACCGGTGGGACAGGAAGAGGCTATGGGGTGATCTCTGATGGGTCATTGTCATGTCCATGTATATGACGTGAGTAGGAGAGGATTATGGTTAATGTAAGCGCATTATGTGCCCATATGAGGAGAGGCGGGGAGACAGCAGCAGGGTGGTCACGCTGCTCCCTACAGAAAAGGGACCCTTCTATGTTGTTGTGGGGATGTAAATTAGCGTAGCTATGGAAATCAGCATGGAGATTTATCAAAACATTGAAATTAGGAATTCCATTCAACCTAGCTCTGCCCTGTGGAGGTCTCTTCCTGAAAGTTAAGAACATCATATTACAGTGGTACATGCATACTCATGTTTATAACAGTGCAACTCATCACAGCTAAGTCTTGGAAGGGGCCCATATATCCGTCAGCAGATGAATGGCTGAGGAAAATGTGTTACTTATCCACATGTATACACAATAGAGTACCACTCTGGCATCAACAAGGATTAACCTGAGTGATTGTGAAAATGGATGTACCGGGACACAAATGTTAGGGGAAATAAATAAGACACTCAAACATAAATACTGTGTAAAAGCATAAGTAATTAAAACCAAAAAGATCAGATAATGAAAGACAGGGAAGTATGAGGCAAAAGAGAAGGGGAGACAGAACAGAGATGCCAATAAAAAATTACAGATGTGTTATGTGCATGCAGCAAGTACTCACAAGGAATGTTATCACTGTGTGCTGTAAACATGTGCCAGTAAAAATAAAAATTAAAAACAAAGTAAACAAAAATGGAAGTGTGGCCTAGAGGGCAGGAATTAGTTCATGGAGGCTCCACTTTCTTAAGGAACTGATGTGGTTTTGGGGGACCATAGGTGGTAGCTGTTACACAAGGGTTGTTAAGTAGAGTAAGCTCAGACCCTCCCATCCTTCTTAATCCCAAAATTTGTACAGGCACCATGTGACAGCTAAGGCACTGGTTGTACACAAGACAGCAAATGACCCAAATGGGGTGTTGGGCAGGGGGAGCCCAGGGCCTCACAAATCTTAGGCTCACACTTACATATGTGGAAAAAATTGACAAATATTATGGGCTTTTCATTTTTAAATTCTTGCCATATACAAAACACAATAACATAAAAATCACTAGTTTACTAAAGATTTGTTGAATTTGTAAGAAAAAGGGACACATAAAAATGATCCATCTCACTTCTGGGAGAACATGGCAGACAGATAGCAGCAGCTACGGAGGCTCTCTGAAAGACCCATCTTAGAATCCAGGAATGGTGCGGAGTGAGGAATCCTAAACAAGAGGAGATATGCCCTGCTGACCCAAGAACAAACTGGGCTGAGAGAAACCATCTGGGAATGCAATCCTGGTGCTATAAAATGAACAGATAAAGCCTCAGCGTGGAAGCTGGAGCCCGTGCCATTGGAAGCTGTGATTTGGGTTTCCTGCCACCGCTGCTGCATCTACATCGGCTCAGCAGGGAGAGAGATGTGCAAAAGCCCTGAGAGCGGGAATCGGTGAATGGAGTTGAGAGCGGGATGGGCCAGGGAGCCATGCATCAACCGCGGTGAGTGAGAGGACACTGGGACTCTTCCACAGTCTAGGAGGCTCCAACAGAGGACATTCTGGGACTGGGCAGACTTGCAGGAACAGGGCGCTATATTGACTTCAGTCACATATCCCCCTCTCAAGCGGGATTGATGAGCAGTGCCTAGCTTACGTGATGCTGCTGGCTGAGACTCAGTAGGCTAGCACAACCCAGGTCCCAGGACCTGGAGGGGTGGGCTCTGCATAGGCTGCCCAGTCCATAACTCCCTGGTGTGCTGCGGTGGGCGGGAACACCTAGCTGGCGCAATTCAATCAGACTGTGGCCAACAGGGAAGGAAGCTGGGCCTCCTATATACACTTGCATATATAAGGAACAAAGAATATGGGAAGAGGGAGCAACAAGAAAGGCCCCTCAGCCCCCAGTCGTGAGAAACAGGAAATAGCAGACACAGCACCAATAGACATAAAGCGCTATCTCCAGAGCCTCATAGACGAGTTCAGGAATGAAGTTATTAATGACCTGAAGCTAGACATAAGCAGAATTGTTAGAGAAATGCTAAGCACCACCCAAGAAAAAACAGATGGTGGAATGGAAGAACAGAAAAAGAGGGGAAAATTGTTTGATGGAGAAAATAGAGAAAGCATAGAATATGTGAAGCAGGTTTAAAGAGATTACCAGGAAACTAAAACCTCTATCGAAAGCTGGCATAACAGCTTGAAAGAAACAAAGGATAGATTATCTGAACTGGAGGCCAGATTTGTAATATGGGAGCATGAAATGAAAAACTTCTTAAAAATAACAACTGAACAAACAGCAATAATACAAAGACTAGACGATGATAAGAGGATCTATAACTTAAGAATTAAGAACATAAAAGAAGAGGTAGGGACACAAACAAATGAACTACAAAAGCTACTCACAGAAATAATCCAGGAGAATTTTCCTAATTTAGCAAAAGGTAAGATACTCAGATGTATGAAGCATTTAGGACCCCAGCCACCTACAACCCAAACAGAGCTACACTCAGGCATATAATAATCAAATATAAGAACAGAAATCCAATATAAGAACAGAATATTAAAAGCCATCAGAGACAAGAAACAGATCACTTACAAGGGAACACCCATCAGAATTACAGCAGACTTTTCGGCACAAACCATCAAATCATGAAGAGCGTGGGGCGAAATAATTCAAGCTTTGAAAGATAATAACCTGCAGCCAAGAATGATATATCCTCCACATCCCTGGAAATTGATGGAAAAACAAGGTGATTCCAGGATAAAGATGAACTAGGGGAATATGTAACTACCAATTCCAACTCTACAGTGAATACTGCAGGATATTCTAAAAAAGAAAAATATGAAGAATCCAGAAATAGTGGCAGAGAGGTCACAATGAATGGAGCAGAAAACAAAATGAAGAAGACAAACCGACAAATAATGACAGAAAAAGAGCTCAACAGAAATGAGGCAGAGAAGATTGGATGATAGGAACAGCTATTTTGGAGAAAACGACATCATAGTAAGTAATGCTGATTTAGTATCATCTTGTTTTGAAGTCTCATCAAGCTTTTGTTCTTCTGTCTCCATTGTTCTTAACATGTTGTATCTTATTGGATTTTATTATATGTGATAGTATAAACAAAAACTTTTATAGACAAGGAGATTATACAGAAACCATTGTTCATTTTCTGTTAGTTGATTCTAAATACCCTGTAGTACTGTCATTCTCTTGAATGGTTTTACATTGTTTTGATATATTTGATGCTACAGTATACAAAGTTATACTCAAAGATTTCTAGGAAAGAGACAATTATGGTAACTACTTTTATGTCAGGATTATCTTGTAGTGAAACACAATTTTGCTTAAATGGTTATGTTTTGATCTGCACTGTTTTGTTGTTATGCCCTCTTTTATCTCAATCTCCATTTTATTACTTTTTTATTTTTATCCTTTTAAGGGGAAAATAAATTTTTAAAAAGTAGGATATATTATAGTAACCCACTTTGATTTACTATTAACTTGATTTGAAGCCCTGTATTGCTCTCACCATCTTGTTTTGACTGATGTTCCTCTACTCTGTTTTGCTTGATAGTACCAGGTTCAAAAGTTTAGGCAACAGCAGTAGAGATACTGTGATTCATTATGATGCCCATTCTGGTTCACTATTATCTACTTTTGAAGACCTGTAATGTCTCCAATGTTTTGGTTTTGTTGGTTTCGTTCTTTACTGTTTTGTTCAATTTTATTATAACTGATGATACAGGCAACTCTATTAGAGATAGTGGGAAGCATTATGGTAACCATTGTTGATCACCTTGTATTATGTTTTTACATTATCTATTATGTCCACCCTTTTGAGTTGACCGACTCTGTTCTGTCATGTCACATTTGGTTTTACTCTCTTCCAATAAAAGTAATAAGAACTGTGGGAGCAATAAAACCCAAAATGTGTAATAGTCATTGTACAAAAGAGAGGAAAAGAAAGTGCTCTAAACGATATAACTGCATGTATATTTAAGTGTATAAGATAGACAATGATATTACTGAGTTTTGTTGGATCATTGAACAGAACTGTTTGGTCTCACTGTTTGAATGTCCACTATATAAGCTTTAATTTTGTAACTTGAACAAACATGTCTAAGATGACAATATGTAATCCATTAACTAGTGATTTCCTGTTTATTTTTTTTTCTGAAATTCTGTATAACTTGTACTCTTTTTCTGCTTTTTTTTTTCCTTTTTCTCCTTAAATAAAATTTTTAAAAAATGATCCGTCTTCAAGAAGAAAACGGCTCAACTCTGAGTGGAAATTACTGACAGTTTTCTAACTGCCAGATATGGTTCATGCATTTGGAAGGTGTTATAACTTGGGCCCCGGTATAAAATCCAAGGAGGCAAGAGACCAAAAATTTAGGTGGCAAAGGCTTTATTTCCAGGCCTGGTGACCAGTCTCCGGGAGCCAATTTGGAGACTGTCCCCCGAGACTGAAGGGAGGACTTTAAAAAGAGGCTGGAGGAAAAGGTGGGGGGAGAAACAAAGAAACCTGCAGAGCCATCAAATTTGTTGACCCGAGTCTGGAAACTGTATTGCTGTCCACTTAGCTCTGACAATCTCGGGAGTTCCTGGTGTTTCTCAAATTACTCCCATCCTACAGACTGACATATCTCAGAGTGGCACATCTGCAGCAATGTTTGGAGAAGAAAGTGGGGAAGTTAATTATCCCAGGACAGCTCGTCTTCGCTAGGGAGTGCGAAGGGGTCATGAGTTGTGAGATGCTGGAACTTAAGTTTTACAAAGATCTGATATCTAACTCATTTGATACATACAGAACAAAAGGAAAGCACCGTTAAGGGTTTTGGGCCATAGTATTACCCAGTAATTTCTTTGAAGCTAAACAGTTCTTAAACTTTGGGGCAGGCTCATTTTATGACAGATCATCACTGGGTCAGGGGGGAGGTCACCAGAAACCCAAATTCTTTATGGCCTAGATAGATAGGTGAGGGGAAAGGGAGGCAATAAGGCACCATACAGAACAGAAAACGGCGGCGGTTATGTGTCAAGGTCAGGGTAAAGGGTTAAACTCATAAGCAAATCTCTCTGCACACAAGCAGGTTACTTTAAATAAATGTAAATTAATTGTCATTCTAGTCTTCTTTAGCTCTTTAGCGGAGAATAGAGGCACCTAGCAGTGATTAACAACCCTTGTTAGCTTGTTTTAGCACAGCTTCTGTAGTTTGTAGAGGGCAACAATGGTTAACATATCAATTAGGTGAGATTCTTGCAATTCTTTACAGAGGAGACTGTTGCTCAACATATCAATTAGGTCACTTAACATATCAATTAGGGAAAAAGGATAAAACAAACATATTTAGTAAGCCACTTTACAGGTTTGCTATAATACACATATAACGAAGCTATTTAATTCTTGGAGTACAACAGAAGGTGTATGGGCAGACAGGACCTTGAATCGTCTAGGAGCCTTTGGAATTGGATTTTGAATAAGTCTGGAACAAGTATGAAGACTTTGGGGGATCTTGAGGGCAGACTGATACGTCCCTAGAGTCTGAAAGGGAAAGTTAACATTTTAAAAAACCTCCAGAATTCCTATGAAAACAAGTGGATGTGTCCAGACACACCTGCAAACACAACATTCCTTTCCTGTGTAACTCTGTCTAACCGTAATGGAACTTCAAATGGTCCTCTGATGAACCCCTCTTTACTACCTTTGTATAACTGGCACTAACAGCTTTGTGATGTAACTTACAACATAACAGAACATTTCTTCCTCTTCATAATCCATGGTGTCATCAAACGCTTAAGCCATATGCACTAAATTTGCCTTTGTCATCCCCCAACCATTTACTTTCCCTTTAAAATCCCTTAGGATTTAGGGGAAAATAAATGGGCAGGGCAGGGCTCTGGTTCTTCAGGAGAGATCCTGCTCAGAAGTCCACCTGAGTAATAAACTGACTCCTTAAGCTCCTTGGTGTTGGTGCATCCTGTGTTTGGTTTGTTCAGAGCCTGATGCTTGGGGTCACAGTGTGTGTGATATCACATGGCATAAACACTCCAGGACAAAGCAGGGCAGGCAGAGGGCAGCAAGGAGGGGACAAGCCATAAGCACGGACCACCCTCTTGCCCCTTATGTCTTGTCCAGGCTACCCATGAGAGCAGATTTTATGGTTGGCATCTACAGCGCTTGGAGTTAAACTGTTGACGCTTGGCCTGGCACTCCAGGAGATACTGGAATCCCTGAGAGGCGGGGCCTGGTGAGAGGCCTCCAGGTTACTAGAAATACATCCTAGGAGATTCTGGGACTCAGTCCTCTCGTCTTCTCTTCCGCTTCCTGGACATGCTGAGCCACATGCTTCTGGCATTGTGTCTGGCGTCACCACATACGGAGAGGGATCACCTGGGATGGAACTCTCAAAATTCTGAGGTAACATGCAGCTTCCCTCTTCACCAGGTGATGTGTGAGAAGTACTTGCGGGGTCGCTGCTGCACTCATCACCTACCTCAGTGACAGAACTCTCAGCCGCTGACTGTCCCCTCTGGAAGAGAACACATTTGTGTTCTTTAAGCCACCGCAGCTGGGGTCGCAGGCCACAGCAGTCACACACTGCTGAGCCAGTTTTACCTGCAACCTTAATTCCACCTCAAGAAGCCTCAGCCTGACTGATGGGAACTCGTGGTAAGAGACAAAAAAACCACCACCGTGTACAGACACTAACAGCAGGCAGAGCCCCAAAGCACTGTTACAAGTTTTACCAGGACAAAACCAGAAGGGGAAATAAAGAGCATAGAGCCTGAAAGAGAAGCCAGTGCACACCCCATACACACACTGTCCACCAGGAGTGTGTGCACCCAGTGCTAGAACAGAGACGAGGATTTAGAAAAGGTCTTGACAGAAAACTAGGAAGCGCACAATTAGTGGGAAGGAAAGCAGCAGAGGAAGCAGGTGAAGGAAAGGAGAGGGAGCTGAGGGGAAGAAAATGATCAGAGTAAGGTATATGCACACCCAATACACCAAAGCCAACCATCATTCTGAATCACTTATATGTACCAATAAATCACAACATTAAAAAAAAGAGAGAAAGACTCTAAAGAGAAGTCTGGTCTGACTTCCCCCAGAGGACCTGTTACCTTTCTGATGTGGCAGCAGAGGAAAACATGGAATTTACCCTCAAGGAAGAGTAAGATTGCTGATATCACTTCTGAAAAATCATGCAAAAGTACACTGAGCTGATCCCACAAAGGGCACAGAAGATACTGACATCAATGGAGACACACGCTGAGATGCCAGGTGGGGGTTCATGTGATATTATGAAACTCTGAGTGTGCCATCATCAATTTAAATAGCCCAGCAATGCCATGCAAGATTATTTTGTGCAGCTGCAGAGCTCTGTGTGTAATGTGATGCATACCATTCCAGGTGGCTGGGATCTTGACCCAGTGACTGGTGAACTCTCCCTCTCCACCCAGTATCTAGAGCCAGTATACAAAAGGAGGCCACAAGGGAAAGTATAAATTTTCCTTCACTGAGACAGACCAGATGAGTATTCTTATACAAATAAAATGATCTACATCCAGCTTCCTATATGGATTAAACCCCAGCTTCCCACGTGCATATCCTCAGCTTTCTAGTGCCTCAGTTTGCCCAAGCAAAACTTTGAAAAGCTAAGAGGCTAGCTCAGGATCTTTGGCTGCCATCAGGCCCTGAGGACAATTAAGTGTCTAAAGCTCAGACATGCAAACCTCAGGCAGCTTCCGAGGAAGGCTCCTGCCACCCCTGACCTCACTCACAGGCCACAGGCAGGCCTGTTCCTGGAAGGGTCAATCCCTGGGCCTGTCCTGTGCCCTGTGTCCTCTCATAGCTTCAGAATTTCAGCCACACTCCAGGCCTGCACTCACCGTGTCATCACACCCATTAGCGTTTCCTGCAAAGACAGAGAGAAGCTTGTGGTTAGTGGCTGCTGCCCCTTCTACCCTGAGGTCCTCTGGCCTTGGCCCATGGCATCCTGCTAAAGGTCAAGGACGTGTATGGACAAACCGCAAGGAATTTGCTGGGATGAACCGTAACACCTCTCTGTCTTTCAGTTATCTTCTCAAGGATTTCTGGAAGCTTCCAAGAGGCCTGTGGCTCTTTACACCCACAGCACCCAGGGGTCATCCACAGTCTCCACCCATTTGCTTTCCCACAAAGCAAGGCCAGATGGAACCTGCAGCAACCTAGTTCTGCCTCTGACATTGACCCTAGTAGATCTGAAACTTCAGTGACACAGCGGGCTCTACCTCAGCTTCAGATACTGAGCACTGTGGTCCCTGTAGCTTTGTGCCCTTGGTTCCCTTCAGTTTTTTCCCTAACAGAGAAAGACCTTTTCCTAAGTACACATGTGCAGATATGCCTGAGAGGAAGGAGCCCGCCCCAGTGAGAATCATGCCACACTGGACCTACCTGACACCAGGGTGCCACCTCTTCCTCCTATGCTGTTAGACATGCGACATATCCAGGATGCAAATTTATTTCGAAAATGCCATACCAGGAGCGCTACCATGAAGACTAGTGAGATTACAATAATTGGTACCAGGAATGTAAATTCTGATTGCTGGTTGGAGAGCTCTAAAAAGTGGGAAAAACAAAAAACATCTTGTTAAGGGCAGGAATTGGCATTTTCCCCAGCAGTCCTATGATAAAAACAAAGCAGCATTGCCACTCCTCAAATGTTAGACATGTAGGCCCAAGGGAAGAGGCCTAGAGGACAGGCCACGCCTGGGAGGGAGGGGAGGGTATAAAGCTCCCACCCCTGAGGGCATGAACTGTGTCCCTCCACAATGGTCTCACGGTGGGGGATGCCACACACAGCCTTGAAAGTCTCAGGGCTGTGTGAGGGAATGGTGTGCCACCAGCCCCAAGCCAGGCCAGTGCCTCTGGGACATCAGATGCCTTGCAGGCATCACGTGGCACCTCAGCAAGGTGGAGGGGCAAAATCAGGCCAAGCCTCAGGTGATGGACACATCCCCATTGTCCTGGGACTGAAGCCCAAGTCATGGTTACTGCACTAGGACAGCTGGGCCTGGGTCAGTGACAGACACAGGCAGATTCTCCCCACTGCTCTAGATGCTGTGAACACAGTGTGCAAACACCCCTCAGATCCCACTATTAGCTTTCTGGGAGATACATCCAGAATGCAATCTTGGGGCACAGGTCAATGCTATCTTTAGTGTTCTAAGGAGCACCCGTACTGCTTTCCACAGTAACTACACTATTGTGCATTCCCACCAGGGATCCATGTGCCTCCACTTTCTCTAAGTCCTTCTAACAGTTACGGCTGCCCTGGAAGGGAAGAAGGAGAATCTCACTGTGCTTTTGACTTGCATTTGCTGAAGGACCAGTGACACTGAGTGCCTTTGCGTTGCTTGTGAGCCATTTGTATGGTTCTTGGGAGAGCAGTGGATAAAGGTCCCTTTCCCATCTTTACTCCTCGGCTTGTTTTATGTCAGTACTGTTGAGCTGAGGAAGTTCTTTTCATCCTATGGCCATAGACTTTCATTAGATTTGTGAGCTGCAAACATTTTTTCCTCATCAGTGCTATCTTTCACTCTGTACACATTCTGAAGCACAGAAGCTTTGAAGATGACTGTAATCTTCTATGTCTGTTTTTCCTTCTTGTTATCATATCAGAAATCATTGCCCAATCCAGTGTCATGAAGGTGCTTCCCAAGGTTTATGAATTGGCAGATTTATGAGGTGCTTTTAGATCCTAGGGTTTTAGTTCGTCTTGAATGAACTTGGTTCATGTTCTGAAATAAGGGTATAACTTCATTCTTTTGCATGTGAATGTCTTAGAGAGCAATTTAAAAATAGGAAATTAATGTAAAAAATTTAAATAAAATGCAGTGTGTATTTGACTATTCAGCCATAATAAATGAAAACACACCATGTGTGATTCACACCACACCCTGGGTGAACCTTAAAAACATGATGCTCAGTGAATATAGTCAACTGCAAAAGGTCACAAAGGTTCTGAGGCCACTGACACACAATGCCCAGAACAGCCTCACCCATTAAGATAGAAAGCTGAGGAGTAGTTATCAGAGGCTCAGGGGCTGTGGCATCACAGCTGAAGAGGGGTGGGGACTCTATTTTGGGGAGATGGGCATGTTTTGGAAGTAGAAGAGGAAGGTGATGTCAAGTGAGCTTAACACATTACCTTTTAAAGGACTGACTTTAGGAGGGTGCGATAAGGGGGGAAATGATCACACTATATTAAACATATACACACATCTATAAATATGAAACCTAATAATCCATGTTACCAATGTGAACTAACAAAGAAGAGCAGAAATTGATTAATTTCATCTCATGTAAACTTTACCTCAGTATAAAATACTCAGGTTAAAAATAAAAGAGTAACCCTCTTACCTGAATGAGCCGCTCCGCAGACTGTGTTTGATGTGGCATTGCATTCTTGGAGGACTGCAGTCCCATCAGGACACCTGGAGAGATTCCCTCAGTCAGTTCTGTCCACCTGGAGCTTGTCCCTTTCATCACTAGCAGAAGGAGGTTCTGCCTCTCTTGGTGCCTGCCAACCCACTCTTAGTAGGAGACAGATGAATGCCGCCCCCCCCCATTTCTGCTGGTCCCAGCCTGATCACAATCCTCACAAGGCATTGGTGTGATTCTCACTAATGCCCTAAAGTTGACCGATTTTCCTCTTCTATGAATATGGCTGCCTTACTGGTAGCCCATGCGCAGAAGCAAAAATGAATTTGTCCTGTTGATTTATCAGAGCCTCAGGGTCTCAGGGTTCCCTCGTAATCACTGCACCCTGCAGGCCTGTTGCTCATGCTGATAAACATTAGTACTAGCTCAGCCTGAATGAAGGGGACTCTTGTTATTTGCTGACTTCCTTCATAGCTTTAAACTCCGCATTTCACAGTGCGGTGAATGTCTTCCATTTCTCTACAAATCATGCCTGACCTTCCTCCTTGGCTCTTCTTCCTTTGCTATGCCTTGCTCATCCTCTGGGTGTGCCAACTCTCCCAGCAATGAGTCTTACACCATTGACTCCAGACTCACGGTAGAAAACACTGGAGAAATCACTAAGACAAACACCCCTTAGAGACCCTAAACCCTTGCTCAGGCTGTTGCTTTGCTTCCTTTTGACAGAAACCAGCCTTGGAGATGTTGCCAGGTGCGTCCTGGTCCCTTGGGCCACTGCAGGGTGTAAAGAATAGCATTCCTCAGGCAGAGAGAGACACCGGGTAGCTCCTCAGCACCTTGGTGGGCAGATGTGAAGACTCCAATGCTACAGGGGCCACACTGCCAGCCCATCAGAGAACCTCCCGTGGAGAATAAGGCCTTCCATTAGACAGTGCTGCAAAGCCAAGTCCAGCATCCTTTGACAAAGAAAGAAAACCAAGAAGAGCAAGACCCAGGAGGGGACAGGAACTCTGCTCCTGACAGCTGGAAGCTGATTAGTATAAAGGAAACCCGAAGGGACCGTGAGGAATTAGTGGCCATGACAGAGAGCAGGAGAGTCATGGAGATGTGGAGAAAGTGGAGGCATGAAAGGGCCAAGGAACACATCAGAGAGCCAAAGGCCAATCAGAAAATCACAGCATAAAGAACTCAGGTAAAAAGAAGGTGTGCAAATAGCAATCGCCTGGGCAGTGATGGGTTTGGCTGCCTTCTGGGGAGAAAATATCAGAGAAGCTTCTGGCCTCATGAGGGAGCCATCTCTCTGGGCTGCTGCAGACTGAACTGACTGCTGGAGGTCCCCACAGCCCTGCTGATTGTCAGCTGTAAAGCAGAACACCCTGTCATGCCCCCTCCAACCCATGTCCACATACTTATCACATGGTGTGCAGACTTCAGAAAATCCAGCGTTCTCACAGAAGTAGCCCTGTTTGCACTCGCATTTCTGGTCATTGGTTGGGGAGCATTTTTGCACCACTTCTTGGTCTGCAGTGCAAGGAACACTGGGGTCAGTTCAAGGTGGAGCCCCTGACCTCACCCATGCCCATGACAGTGTAGTTACTAGAAACGGGAAAACAGTGTGTCCCCTGTACACAGCTTATTCTATAAAAGCAGGTGCACTGAGGTCTTGTTTAATCTCAAGCTGAAGATCTATGGGAAGCCAAGCGTGGTGAGGCACAGCTGGAATCCCAGCAACTGGGAGGCTGAAGCAGGAGGATTGCAGGGAGTTCAAGGCCAGCTTAGGCTACATACAAAGTCAGTTTAAAACCGTTCTGAACTGTACAGTGAAACTCTAGTTTAAAAAATTTCTGTGGTAGCCACCAGCTTCTATTCTTTCAGCTTTTCTACATGTTTGACAAGTTTCCTAATCCAGAACTGCTCATTGCCTAGGAATGGAGCTTGTTCTTGTTTCACCATGTATTTTGAGCTTCTAGATTGAACTGGCTATTTGCGGTGAGAAGAAATGACAAAAATCTCAAGGAAATGCTTTCCTTTGGGTCTGATGTCCTTAATCCTTTGGGATTAAGGCTGTATTCACATTGTTCTCACTCTGACAATACGTAAGGAACAGTTTTTAGGCCAATGAAAAGTCGCGCACTGCTTTGTTACACCATCAGTTTGCAACTGCTTCCTCCGAATGCTGGATGAATGGCTATTCTCTATTTTCTCTATGTTTTCAAAGATAAACGCAGAACATCTAAATATCAGAAGCTCAGCTTCAAGTCCTGCTTTAGAGCCCATTGCCAGTAAGAGAACTGCTGGGTGTAGGGGTGCAGGTGTCATGGCCAAATCCCTGGAACTCACCAGCGCGGCAGGTGGAGCAGAGGAGGCAAGACTCCAGGCCGTTGGCATATGCTGTGTATGTCCCCAGCTCACACTTCACACACACTCCCTGGGTGTGGGGTCTCATGCAGGGCTTCTCCACATACTGACCTGTGGAAGCGGTTGGGCAGAGGTGAGTCCTCACAGGGGTCCACCTGGATCCTGGGCTGTACTGTGCTCTACCCAATCCCTGGGGGCTCAGGCCTCTCATAAGTCAACAGCAATGCTGCCGCCTTAGAGTTTAAGTTCAAACTGATATTTGGAAGTAACAGGCACCTAGACATGATTAAGTGGCCAGCTCCTCTGGAGGCATCCCTGTGAAGCTGTCCCTCCAGTTCACCTCCGTGAACCTACCTGCACCCTCTTTGGGGTTCAGTGCTCACCATGGGGGGTGACCCTAACCCAGCTGGAATTGCTGGACACACCAGGCCGTCTCAATACATACAGATACACAGAGGCTGATGTACACACCAGGGGTCCTCCTGACATGGGACAAGAGATACCTGTCTAGGGTCCTAAAGAGTAGCCAGCAGGTGAGCGCAGTCCCTGCTCCTCACACACCCTATCTAGTGCAGCCTCTGCTCTGCTCCAGTAGCCACCTAAACCCACATGCCAGGACTCACCTGAAGGGCACATCTTGCAGCAGTGGCCAGCATTCATGTATTCATCACTGTTACAGGACTCCGGGCCAGAGTACTGTAGGGTCTGTTTGTAAATTGACTCAGTTATAGTGATTATCTTCCGATTGAAATCACAAGAAATGTCTAACTAGCAGCCTACCCCTACAGGTAATGATTCGTCTAGAAGCAATGTTATGAAGCGGTGGTGAACAAGGAAGCAGCAGGCAGTGCTCTCCTCTACTCTCCCCAAGATAATCATTAAGAACAGGAGCTCTCTGAGCCATGCATGTGAGGAGCTCTATTGCTTGCTGCTTCCCAAGAAGGCTGAGTTAATAAATCCCAGTGAACTCTAGTCTAGCTTGGCACTTTACACATTAATAGGTACCTATCTTCCCTCCTGGCAGCCAGTCATGTGTATGTGCTCTAGGAAAAATTGAGAGTTGAGGTGGCCGATTTGTTAAAGTTTCAAACTATCATCCCAATTTAATGCTCTATCTAGTGATCAGCAATGGCTGCTTCTCACCATGGAGGAGCAGAAATACAGCAGAAGAGTAGCTATGATAGCTGTCACCAGCTACAGCCGATTCTGAGGGTTATAAAGAATCCAGGCCTGTGCTCCTTTCCCTGTTATTTTCCTTTCTCCATCTGGGGCCAGGTACTCAAGGGTTACAACCTTGAAATGCATGTGCATAAACAGAAGATTCTGGAAATTATCATGCATGCTCAGGGGTAGTGATGGCCCAGAAACCATCCAAGAAGCACATAAATTGATGCTGCAGGCTGATCCCTGAAACAAAGACACCTGGCCAAGAGACAAAAAGAAAAATATAAACAAAACAAAAATCAAAGGAATGAAGCAGTGACTCCAATTCAAGTAGTACAAGATTCAGATGTCCAGCTTTAAACAACAACACCAAGAACAATAAGAGTAACAACAACATCACAGGCATAGAAAGGAACAGGAAGATACAACTCATTCAAGAAAAAGACAGCAGACCACAGGCTTACTAGAGAGGCTCCAATACTTGTGATCAGAAAGCCAAAGTGAGACATATAATGTCTGCAGGGACATGATATATGAACCAAATGAAAATATCAAACCCAAGAAGAAATATGAAAAGAAAGACAAAGAGACATCCTGGAGATGAACAGTACAATATGTGAAATGAGCAATTTACTAGGCAGGTTTCAGAGGACAGAAGAAAAACCCAGCGAGCCTGAAAATAGGAATAAGCAATCGACAATTCTGTGGAGTACAGAGAAACATGGCTAAAGAGAAAAAGGGCACCGAGCCTAAGAGACCTGCAGGATGCTTCCATCAAATCAGTGTACACGCTGAGATTCTCAGGACAGCAAAGATAAAAACAGCCACAGTGATCATTTGCTGTAATGAGAGAAAATATCCTGAAGTTGAGGCAAGATGTGTCGCAGATATCCAGGAAGTTTAAGGGCCTCCAGGAAGACTGAGCTCAAAGAACCTGACAGGCTGGCTCAGTGTTCAGTCTCTTCCAAGATGAGGACATGAAGGGAATACTGCAATCAGCCATAAAGGAGTGCCTGTCACATCCCAGGGCTCCCCAGTAACATCTCAGCAGCTTTCTCATCAGCAGCCTCGGAGGCCAGAAGGCGGGGGGTCAGGGTGTCCAAGACGCTGAAAGGAAAACAAGGCAGCCAGGAATTCCACATCCGCCCAAAAGCATCTGGGGAAGTGAATGTAGGCCATGTAAGAGAAGTTACTCTCATGCTTTGGGGTGACATAATTAGTTTTATTTTGTGTGATTCCAAAGGCAAATACATGAGAATAATAATTGGGTTAAGATTAGAGGTATGCGTTGGATAACGACAAAATTTTAGACATCATTAAGAAAAGGTGGAGATGCAGCTGTATTGGAGCAGAAGTTTCATATACTATTGACATGAATTTGGCACAAATTACAGTGAAACCATCAAAATATTAGGATGTTAACACAATTTGTTAAATGTCAGAGAAAATAGCTGTAGAATACACAACATGAAGTCAATTAGAAACTTTCCTTATAGAAAATAAATCTGAAAAATAGAGTATCCTAGAAAATAAAGGCATAAACTGTAAGTTATCTAGAAGAATACAGTGGCCTAAATCCAGTCAATCATCCCTAGGCAGCTTTCTTGGCCAGCCCCAGCCAGGCTAATGAGCCCCTTGGCCCCGCCCTGTCAGCGCCAGTCCTGCAGTTGACTCCGCCCCCTCTTCTGGCTGGCCTCCCCCTTCCGGGCCCTGGTCACACCCGAGCCCCCCAATTCCCGGGCGGACTGGGGTGTTCTCTCCCCAAACCAGGCTCTTGCTAGCTAAGGGCATCCTTTGTTAGGGGAAGGTGGAGCAGGGTCTGGCAAGGCTGGCTTGGGATTAAGCAGGATTTGTTCATTCCAGGATATCAGGACACGCCCCAAGTAAGTCTCAGGACCGCGTAGGTAAAAGTTCTCCGGGTTCCCGGAAGGCGTAGGAGAAATAGAGAGAGGGGACACCCCAAGAGCTGGCTCTCCTGTCTCCACGACAGTGTGCGCTGTGTTCCCTCGGGTTTTCGGTTTAGATTCCCTTTAGATTTTCGGTTAATTGTGATTCACGTTTGTTTGGTCCGTTTCCTGTGCAGAGTCAATTCCCCCTTACCTTCCACCTGCAGGTTTTCAAATGCATTCTGTCACTTTTTGACAGAATGGGGGGAGGGTGTCCTGTTCAAGCATTTGCTGGAGACTAGAAGGACCCGGAAACTAAACAGGCCAGCGCCCTCTCGCCCTGCTCCTCCTTTATTTCTGGGATTTCCCACGTGGTCCCGACTTGGCCCCGGGATCTGTCAGGAAGTTCCGTCCCACGTAGGCTTACAGTTGGGCGCCCTGTGCACGCCATCCTCACGCCTGCCCCAAAGACACAGGCACTGTCGCGTTTGTTCAGGGGACCCCGCCACCGCCAAGTGAGCTCTGGCCACAGCTCATCCATGCCAGGCGCTCCAGGCTTGGCCGAGAGGGGCGGGCGGGGCTGCTGGCTGTGCGGAGGGAGCCAGGGGTTCCGCTGTGACCCCGCTCGCGGATCGGAGACCGGTCTGGGAGGCACCCAGGGCTCGGGGTCGGGCGCTGCGCATTTTCCAGAGGCTTCGCTCTGGCTCTCCGCGGCTCCTGCCGGACTCCCCACCCGAACCCCAGCCGTGCTCACCCACCTGCACTAGTTGAAGCAGACACAAGTCGAAGAGCCATGTCCTGCCCATCAGAACCGGGCACTGTAGTCTGGCTCGTGGATGCTGAGTGCAGAATCCTCACGGTGCAGTCAGCTGGTGCTCCAGGAGTTCACGGGCACTGGCAGGATAGAGAATGTGAAGTTAGCTCCGCAAGGAAGTACATTTCCGCCCCCAGCGCTGCCTCTAGGCAGGTTTTGAGTCATGTGCACGGCTTGGCTTTGTGCCTATCCCGCCTCTCAGGGTCGCCCCACCCACCCCGCTCCCAGGGGCAGGATGTAGGGACTGGTAAGCCTGGTAGGGGGACGTGGGGGATCAGGGGATGGGGGGGGGGGGACTGGAGTCTGGGGTGAGAGGAAGGGGGTGGGCGCGTGGAGTAGTTGCGGGTGGGACTAGGTCTAGAGAGCCAGGTCCTGGGAAGCTGGGGTGCCTGGTTGGGGGGATTGGTCAATGGCCAGGACCCGGTTTGGGGGGCCGAGGCTGGTGATAGGGGGATGGGTCCCGGGTGCCTATGTGGTGAAGCAGATGCCCCAGTGCAGGGCTAGGTGGCCTGGTGCCTGGTGGGTGGATGGCTGGGGCTGGGGCCAGGACTGGGACCAGGCTTGGGCCAGTGGCCAGGGCCCTGGGAGACTGGGGCCAGGCCTGAGGCCTGGGGAGACCAGGGATGGAAGCTGGGGCCCTGGGGCTGTTGGACTGCGGATAGAGTGTGGGGCCAGTGCCCGGAGAACAGAGACTCAGACCAGGGCCCTTGGTGCCAGTGTGTTGGGACTAGGTTTAGGGGCCAGGGCCAGGGTCAGGGTCGGGACCAGAGGGTCAGGGCCAAGGCTTAGGGCCAGGGGCCTGGTGATGGGGCTGGGGGCCTGGCTTCTGGAAGCCTAGGATTCTGGGGGCCTGGCTTCCTGGTAACCTAGGGTTATCAGTTGAGGGTGACTGGGGCCTGAGTTGGGGAGCCTAGAGGCCAAGGTCCAGGTGCTGGAAGCCTGGAGACAGGATCTGCATAACGGGGCTAGGGTCAGGGGTGGGGGCAGGGCCTAGGATCGGGAAGGGGCCAGGGTCAGGTGGGTAGGGAGCCAGGCCCTGGAGCCAGTGCTGGGGTGCTGGGGCTGGGGCCAAGGAGTTCGGGTCAGGGCCAGGGGTTGGGGGACCAAGGGCCCTGATGGGGGGATCAGAGGGGTGGCTGGGGTCTGAGTTGGGTTTTGGGTGCCAGGGCCTGGTGTCGGTGTTGGAGGCCAGGGCACCAGGGTGTGTGGGCTTACACTCCAGTACACAGGTAAGCTGAGATGTTAGCCAGAACCCGGGCACTCTGGCCAGAACCAGGATCCCGGGTGTCTTAGTTACTTTTTACTCATCGCTGAGACAAAATACCTGAAGCCCAAAGCTAGGAAAGGAAAGGTTTATTTCTTACAGTTTTTGGAGGTTTCAGTCCACACTCAGTTGGCTCCAACACAGGCGGGCATGGCTGGGCTGCCTTTCATGGCGGCTGCAAACAGCAAACAGGAACTGGCAAAGAGCAAGACACACCTTCTTCCTGCCATTACATTACATCCTGGCTCCACCCCTAAGTGGGTGTAGTGCTAACACCATCAATCCAAGCCTCATACAATGAACCAATCACAAATACACAACGTAAACTCATGAGGCCTGGGGGACACAGACATAAACCATGACATTGGGTCACTGGGTCTGGGATGCTGGGGCCCTGGGACTGTAAGCCAGGGGGAGCTGTGACCTGGGCTGGTTTTGAGGGACCAGGGTCCCTGGGGCTGGGAGACCCAGAATTCAAGAGTCCTGGCAGGGGGGCCGGAGAGTTGGGATGGGTAGCCAGGACCAGGGAACTGGGGTCCAGGCAGACAGTGTCTGGGGCCAGAGTTGGGTGCCGCAGCTGGAGAACTTGGGTGCCTAAGCCCCAATGCCAGAGGCTGGGGGTTGGGGGACACAGGCCCAGAGCCAGGTTCAAGGGGTTGGGGTCCTGTGGAGCCGAGTTTGTGGGGGCTGGGGTGCCTGGTGGACCATGAGTCCAGAGGAGGAGGGCAGGATCCTGTGGTTCCGGAGGCTGGGTGGCAGGCTTGAGGTCGTTGGTGGATACTACAGAAGAAGGATTGCCAGCCTGGGCTACATAATGAGTTCAAGATCAGCCTGAAATACATAGAAAGACACAGTCTTAAACAAAACAAAACAAAATAAAACCAAAAAAAAAAAAAAAAACCACAGAAAACACCAAACAAGGAAGAAAAAAAAAAAAAACTCAACCAAACAAAAATCTTAGGGAGTTGGGTATTTACCTCAGAGGCAGAGCGAGCACTTGCCTGGCATGAGACCCTGGGGTTTGGGCCTCAGCACCAAAATGTTTCTAAGACCTGTAGTGATGCTCTTCCATTTATATAAAAGCATCACTACAGGCTCTTCTATTTCCTAAAATCATTTCAGAACCTCTCAAAAAAAAAGTACTCCCCATCCCTGGCGTTGGTGGGGACTCAGCTTTGGAAGTAACACACATCTTTTGCTCTCCCCTGGGTGCCCATTGCCCACATCTTGGCCACATGCCATCAGCCAGGGCTCCATGGCGCCACTGCCCTTTCCTGTGGCTCAGAGCAGCTAGAGCAGGCTGTGTCTTCTGCTGGTCTTCCTTCATCACCCTCAGAGACACTCAGGCAATCAGGGACCCCCCTAGGGACAAAGGAACACAGGGCAGGTGCCTGCTCTGGGGCCTCAGCTCAGGGCCAATTACCCACTGGAAGCGTGGTGTGAGTTCTTCCCTGCCCCTCACCTTCCCACACCATGTCATTCACCTAAAAACCCAGAAGTCTTATGAAACCAGGATTCCTGGCTGGGATTGCCTGGTAAGTGCGAGGTTATGAGTTTGATCCTCGGTACCAAAAAAACAACAGCAAAAAACCAGGATGCCTTCACACCTGTGTCTCCCGAAATAAATTAGATAAGCAACTAAAAATGTCCCACCGAGAGACAGAGCAGGGAGGAACACTAGGTCCTTCACCTGTTCCTGGATAAAATTATAATGTGTACTTGTCCCACCTCTTGCACCTATGTGTCGCTTAATGAAGTAGACAGGGACCCTCATGGAGGTAAGTAACAGGTGGTCTGCAGCCTTAATGCATGACCCTCCCCCCAAAGGGAAGATGTGTCTTTCCCCATTCTCCCTTTCTGACAACGTATGAAGTGGTAAGTTCACGGTCGTGAGTTCAACCTCTCCTTGTTTTCTTATTCTAAGTGGAAAGATAAGGTGCCCTGTAATAACAAGAGAAAGCTAGAATGTTCCCAGTGGCAGGAATCACTACTGACTTGCCCAGATGTGGTGGCACACTCAGGGCTGAAGCAGGAGGGTCACCATGAGTTCAAGGCCAACCTGAGCCACATAATCCACTTCAAGGCCAGCAAGCACTACATAGTGAGATCCTGTCTTTAATGCCCCCTCCCCATAAAAAAAAATCATTGCTAATCCAAATCCTATCTAAGAAAAAATTCACTGAAGCACAAGCAAGAAGTAAAATAATAAAATAAAATAGTCCATACTCATGACCTAATGAAAAATTATTCTAGCCCTCCCCAAGACTCCTGAAAGATCGTCTCTTTCCTCTGTTCCCAGCACCTGATTGTCAGGTTCTGAAGAGTCCCTGTCTGCACTTCCTCTCAAGCTGAGGACCTTCCTTGATTTAGTTCCTTCTTTTTAGGTCCTTTCTTCGAGGTCCTTCTCAATTAAACATTTGCCTGTGAATTCACGCTGTTCTTTCAGGATTAATTTCTACTTTCACCAAAGGGATTCTGAGGGTTTCCAAATAGAAAACATTGGAAACGGTCCCTTAACAGTGACAGTGACTCCTCCTGGTTCTTAATTTGGAAGGTCATTTTTTGGTTCTTTAAAACTCTGGACTGTTTTTTTTTTTTTTTTGGTGGCGATAGATGATGAATATATGTTATGTGCATATAGGAATCTGCCAAAATGAAACTCATTATTCTGCACAAACAGTATTCATTTATTTAAAAGATGTAAAGGGAAAAAGAATTCTGGGTTGAGCCAGAGCTTCTTTCAAGTGCAGGCATCCAAACCAATCAGAATGGTGTGTATTCAAAAGACTAAAACCAGAATCCCATTCAACCTAGCTGTTCCTTTCTAGTTACCTTCCTAAGTTAAAATCATCATATTACAATGGTACATGTATATCCATGTTTATAGCATGACTCAGAAAAGCGAAATTCTTGGAAGTGGCCCATGCATCCACTGAGTTTACACATTGCAAGAAAGCATAAATAATTAAAGAGCAAAATAAAAGATAGATGATAGGAAATAGGGAGGCATCTTTTGCAGAAGAGACAGGGACTAAAAGAAAGAAGGAAGAGGATTTACCTTTTCTTCAGTCTGACCTTGGGTGTCCCCAAGGCCAGTCTTACACTCTTGTTTCCTAAATCTGATCTCCCCGTAGGTGCTGCGATGGATAAAATGGCACCCAAAGTCTGACTGTAAAGAACTTTCCTGCAGGGCAGCAGTGCTCACATGTGCAGCTTCTTTACTATAGAGAGGAGATGGGCAGGACAGCTGTAACTTCATAATTTGAAGGCATTATTGGCAGCTGATGGAAAGTGGTTATTCAGCCTTGAAAAGAAATTTTGACACTTACTACAACATGGGCGAATCTTGAGGGCACTGTACTCAGTGAAATAAGCCAGTCACAAAAGGACAAAAACTGCATGTTTCTGTTTCAGTCTGGTTCTTAGAAAAGTCAGATTCCATGAGAAAGTAGACTGATGGGTGCCAGGGCCTGGGGAGGGGACTGAGAGTTGGCTTTCTATGGGCACAGAATTTTAATTTCAGATGATGAAAAAGTTCTTGAAATAGATGATGGTTGGATAAAACAAATGTACTTAATGCCACTGAAAAGTACACTTAAAATGGTAATTTTATGTTATATATATTTTACCACAATTAAATCCATAAAAGTAACTATATATATTCTCTGAAAGAAAAAAAAAACAAGGAAAAGTAGATGCAACGAGCTTAGGCTTACTGTACCTATATAAATATTGAACCCAACAAAATAAAGCATAGAAAGACAAAACTGGAGAGTCCCCATTCCCAGCATTAGGTCGCTTCCTGGTCACAGACTGTCTGGAAGTACAAGGGGGTACTCCCTTAGTTTGACTTGCACATGAGGTAGGATATACCCTAGCAGGAACCCCAGCCCCTACAGGATGCTTCTCACCTGGATATCTTTTAGCAAGTTCAGAAACAGCATTTCTCCTGACAGTTATTTTTTTCTACTATCCTTCAGATGGGTTTTGTCCTCCTTAGTCTTCCAGCCCCCCCCCAACCTAAGTCCTCCAAATCTTAGTACACTGTCCCTGAGAGCTGACCGTTCAGCTACTTCTGCTCAACACCCTCCCAACGCCTGATGCACAAAGCCTGTAGCACTTCTCTGACAGTCTAATATGAGCTAGAACGTTAAGTCAATCCAATTCTGACCAGGGAGGAAATGTCCCACGCCACAGGCTAAGGGATCAGTCTCTAAGACTGTTCCTACAGCGGATGCCAATTACAAATCACAGGCCTCCTAGAATTCAGCTAACTTTCCTCAATAGTAGGAATCTACTATTGCCCCCTTCTCAGGTTCATCAACTCCCTGAGGTGACCAACTGAGCTCAGGAATGTGCTTCCCAGGTGAACAAGTCTATTACTCAGGACACCTCTCTAAACAGCCAGTGGAGGAGTAAGGCACTATTGGGTCCTGACCTAGATCCCTGATTTCCCAAACGAGTGTATGGCGGAGGTTTAAATAAATTGAGACAAGTTATACGACTTTAGGGCTCCAGGAGGGTCAAAACCCTTTAGCTGAGCTTGAGAGTCTGAGGGCTAAGAAAAAGACTTCTCTGGACCAGCCCACTTTTATTAGGACCAACAACAAAAGGCAGAGAAACTGAGGAAAGTTGGGAAGTGAGCAGGACCTTGGGAGTCACTTCAAAGACTTCTCCAAGTAGTAAATTATGCCAGTTTAGGAGAATCATCTTATCTCCAAGATGATATTTATGGTAGGATTGAGACTGCAAGAGTGAAATTCCTTCAGCTTCAGTCTCTTTCTAATTGATGTTTGAGCCAAGTGTCCGTAGCTGTGGCCTTATCTTGCCCTTTGCGGTATCTCTTGGCCTCACAGGCCACTACAGGCCTCAGCCAGGACCAGTGATTCATAGAGATTCACTTACCATGAATCAGCTCCCATGGCCAGGCAGCTCCCATGGCCAGGCAGCTCCCATGGCCAGCCAGCTCCAATGGCCAGCCAGCTCCCATGGCCAGCCAGCTCCCATGGCCAGCCAGCTCCCATGGCCAGCCAGCTCCCATGGCCAGCCAGGCGGAGGACAGACTCACAGATAAACATAGAAAGCCAATTAGTAAAATTCAAATCCTGCTCAGAGCCACTTTGATCTTCAACAAGGCATGGGTGGAAAAGGACAGGTGTAGAGTTTCTACTGTGGCTTCAAGCCCCACCTTCAAGCAATTCCTTACAGCAGACCTCTGAACTCTCTTGTCAATGGCACCACTGGTGACCCAATAAAACAGCCTCTAGCAGCAACTGGAGGTCAGAGGTGAGAATCTGAGAACCTGCTTTAAATTTTGGGCGCATTTGTTGAGTAGCCCAGCCCTGCAGTTACTTAGGAGTTACCCAACAGCCAACTGTATAATCTTACAATCTGTGTCATACCCTGAGGAAACATGTTCTCCCTTGCATTCTAGTGGTTATGTCACACCGTATGGTTTTAAATGAGAATTGAATTTGATTTTTCTTACCAGTGTTCAGCAGTGCCAGGCAAATTGGGACCTAGTTTACAAGATTTGAAGGAAGCCTGTCAGTGACATCAAGGAGTAAGGGCAAAGAGCATGCAAAGGGAGAAAAAGGCAGGGCAGGGAAGGACAGTGGCGGAGTGAACAGCTCTAGAAAAACTTCCCAGGGCAGCTGCAACTGCTCACTACCCAGGCTCCTGGCAGGAGCACACAGTCCCTACATGGTGCCATGGTGCGGGTGCACCAGGAGCAACAGCCAGAGCCCATATCTGGGTGGAACTCATGCAAGGGGAGAGTGCCCCCTATTAGGGGAGGAGGGCTCTGGCTTTCAAAGTGTGCAGCAGAGCAGATGGAACAGGTGACACTGTTCTAGCTATGCCATTGGTTGCTCCTGCAGTCAACTCATACCAGTGGGGTCAGGAGATGTAGATGACTCTCCAGACTGTTGGAATTGCCTCTTCTGTTGCCAACTTCAATAGTCTTCCGCCTTGTGACAGCCTGCCTGGGCTCCTCAGACAGCCTTGCTTCCCACTTGCTCAGTTGCTCCTACCTTTCAGACAGTGGCTGTTTTGGTTTATGTCTAGGCATCCCCTCAAAGCCTCATGTGTTCATAGCCAGCCTGGGCTACAAAGTGAGTTCAAGGCCAGTCTGAACTACATAATAAGAACCTACCTCAAAAAACCAAAACCAACCAACCAACCAAACAAAAACCCAACTATAAGCTAAATAAACCTTTCTTCCTTTAACTTTGGGTGTTGACTATTTTGTCTCAGCAATGAGAAAAGTAACTAAGACAGTGGCCCTTTTAGACAGGCTCCCCTCAATCAGACAGTCTTTCCTCCCGCCCAGCTGTCCCACCCACTCCCTCCCACCACTTGGACAGTCTCCCTATCCCCAAGTTGTTCATCCCTCACACCCATAGACTCCCCTCTGTGACAGCTTTGCTTTCCTCTAATCCCTGCCTCCCATTTTAGACAGCCTCCACCCCCAACAGCCTCTTCCCCAACTCAGCCAGCCAGCCCTTCCCCCAGTTTCCTCCTCCCCAGTCCCTTCGGCCACTAGGACAGCTCCTTCAGCCTCCCCACTTTCTCTGCCATCTCCCCTTCCCCCTCTGACAGCTTCAACCACACTACAATCTTCACCATCTTAGCCTGTCCTCAGCCTCCGTGGACAGCCCCTCCTCAGCTGTGATAGGCAGCCCCACACAGCTCCCCCACACAACTTCCCTCATCTCAGCAGCCTCTGCAGACCCCCAGCCTCATCCTCCCTCTTAGCCTTTCCCCAGTTTAGAATCTGTCCCCAGGAAGACCCTCCCCTTTCCAGAAGTCCCCAAGAAGACAACACGCAACATGTGTATCTGTTTATTTCAAGACATGGAGCCTTTCCCCAGTTTAGAATCTGTCCCCAGGAAGACCCTCCCCTTTCCAGAGGTCCCCAAGAAGACAACACGCAACATGTGTATCTGTTTATTTCAAGGCATGGAGCACAGACATGTTCCCAGATTGGGAAGGGAGATAGACGAGAACATGGGTATAAAATAAGGAACATAGAAGGGTCAGTTACATTGAGACGGCACCCACAGAGAAGTTTAAGGCTCTGAATGTAAATATGTGTAGATGCTCACACACACACACACACACACACACGCACGCACGCACGCACGCACGCACGAACAAACGCACAGAGCGCCACTGACACAGGAACCAGGGGCCAGAGGCCTAAAATATTGCAATTATTACATGTAGTAAAAAAGTGTAAAACGAATGGGAAGACTGCAGTGTCACAAGCTTGAGCCTTCTGACTCCAGGGCCACCTCTTGTGCCCTGCTCCTGGGTACAAGCTCGTACTCAAGGTAGGCTGGGCAGGCTCTTCCCACTGTGGGGCTGAGGAGAGGCCTGGTACCTACCTGTACTTAGCCACTGTCCAAACAGCACAGTGGCAGAATAAAAGCCCCATAATCTTCTGCAGAACAGCCCTAGTGTCTTCCCCAGGGCAGCCCCAGCCTGACCCAGGGCCCACTGGGGGCCCTTCCAGGGTGACCTCAGCATTGCAGGCAGGATCCCAGGAAGGCAGGTCTCATGGAGTATCATGGAGGCTGAGCCCTGGAGGCTCCTGGGTGTCCTGCTTTGCTCCTCTAAACCGTGCTCACTTACTGCCACTAGTGGTGACTGTTCCAACATCTAGACAGGCCTCCTACCCCACATCCATTGATGCCATGTGGGCTGGATTGACAACCATGAGGCAAGAGGACCAGGGCATCTCTCAGGACAGAAGCTGCATTTGGCTTTAGCATTAAGGCCAGCGCTGGACACAGAGCACTGCAGGCAAGGCCTATGCCCCCTTGCAAAGGCCACTGCCCCCCTGCTCCAGAGGGCCCCACACTCAGGCTGCAGAGCACTGATGTCCACAGGGTCTGTCTGCTGTCCTTTGGGCACGGTCTCTTTTTTGTGGTGGCTGTGCCTATTGAGTCTCTGCCTCCACAGGGCTTAAAGTGCTGGGTGCCTGGAGGGAGAGCTGGGCTGCTGGAGTTCTGTAGACCATGTCTCACTGCCCCAAGGCTCTTATTTGAGGACATAGTTGATGAGCAGCTGGCAGGCCAGGAACACGCAGAGCAGGAACCAGGATCGGGGGCTGTGCAGGAGGCCTGGGGGTGGTGCCTGCCTGGCCTGCACTGCACAGCTCAGCATGGCCGAGAGGTGCCTGCAACGACAGGGTGGAGACTGTACTGGCCACCCTGCTAGTCCAGAGTGCTGCCCAACCAGGGATGTCTGCCTGTCTCTAGAGGGCAGTGGCCTGCACAGCACGGACCAGTGTGGAAGAGCCACTACGGGATCAACACAGCCAGAGCAGACAAGGAGAAAAGAAGGGATATCATGTGTTCCTTCCCTTGGACATTAGGAACCCAAGCTTTCTGGCTTCTGAAGAACACTAGTAGCCCCCTAAGTTCTCAGATCTTAGCTATGGTCTGAATTCTATTACACTTTTTCCCAGTTGTTTCTGTGGCTATCAGACTTAGGTTGAGATGGGTGCCCCCAGAGAGCCCCCACATCTATGCCCAAGCCTAAGCGCCCCACCCCAAACTCTAAGCTCCTTGGAATCTCCAGCTCAAATTCTGACAATTTTAACCATCCAGTCCGCTCAGACCCACTTCCTGTGTATCTGGAGAGCTGGGCCTCTGCTCCCACAGCTGAACTCCTACATGAAGGCAGTTATACCTTTGTACACGCCAGGCTCCCTAGCCACCTCTCCCCACCCTCTGGTTGGAATCTGGTGTACCTGTGCAGCTCCTGCTGGGCCTCCTTGATGGACAACACGGCCTCCTGTAGGGCCTGCAGCCGGTGCACCTCCCTCCTGCACCGAGGGCATGGGCTTTCACTGCCTGGATATCCAGGGGGAAGGGAAGACATAGGACAGGAGGGGAGAAGCAAGGTGAGTACAGAGTTTTGGCTCTGACACACCCTGGAGCAAGCCACAGACACAGAGAGGCAGAGGTGTAGAGGAAGTTTCTGGAGGGCTTCCCACACCCAGTGGCCTCTAACAAACCCGGAAGACAGCAAGAAACACCCAGTGACCTCCAGGGCCAGCAAAGGAGCAGATGGACCCACCAGGGAGGGGGCAGAATTAGAGACACTGTACACGGCCCTTGCTGCTTAGCAAACTGTAGCCTGAGTCTGCTCCCTCTCCCCTGCTACAACTCTCCTCAGCCCGCTCTTCAGCTAAGAAAACTGAGTCAGGGCAAACCAGGAAGCACTTGCATCCTAGGAAGCCACTGTTTCAGCTTTTCCACCCTACTGAGGGGCTACAGGCTGTAGCTGGCCCCCTCTCAGCCTCCCTGCCAGGTCAAGCCAAGGTGCCAACCAGACAAGCTTTGGGAGCTTGCCCAAAGATGGCTTACCAGGAACAAAGTCACCGTCCTCATCTGAGAGCTCTGGGCAGGACTCAGGTGTGGAGCCACTGCTCTCAGTGACCTGGCTGTGGCCTGAGGGCTGGTCACTGGCCTTGCGGAGTCGCCGGTCTGGGCCAGGTCTCTGCAGAAAGACAGAACTGCTGCAGCCCAGAGCCCACACACACACTGCCATGGGTACCTGGAGGCTGTGATGGCCTGTTTATATCAGGACAGTGCTGTACACAGAAATTGCATCAGATAGGTTTAGAGTTGGACAGAGGAGGCTTGATCCTCCACCTTGTGTGGAAGAGCAGTCCTGAGCTCTCAGCTAACATATTGCTGCTGACGCCATCTGCAGGGGTGAGGGCCAGCAAACTGCCTCTAGACACACTGGCACTGGTCAGCACAGCAGGTACTGCTCACACCTCGGACACAGACCTTGGCACCAGGGTGCTGCCTAATAGGCCATCTGTGGAGCCCTAGAGCATGTGCAAAGGGCCCGTCCTTCTTTGTTTCTTCCTGTAGCCTCCCTGCATTCCCTCATGCCCTTTCTAGGGCCCAGATGAGCGCAAACGCTGGCTTCTCTTCCTACCTTGGGAAGCCCTTCCTGGGCTGTCTTTGGCCTCAGCATCCTCATCTGAAGAATGAAATTCTGTATCTATAACATGGTGGAAGGCAGCTCTAAGGGGCAATGGGTTAGGAGCCACAAGCCCTACTCAAGCCCTGCAAGGTAAGGCATGGGAGTGTCCCATGACCCAGGCATCCTGCAAATGCAGGCACCCTGGGTCCTACACTGAGCACAAGAGGCTAGGGTCAGCAGAGGCCACTGTGAGGTAGAGGATGAGGGGACAGCAGAGTGGGACACAGAGAGACGAGGGCTGGGTGGGGAGTGAGGGTGTAGGTGGTAGCCACAGCTACAGCTAGGGAGACTAGATGGGATCCTGGGGGTGCTGACCTCATGCCTGGAGCCTGGGCTGCCCAAGAAGGTGGTCTGGCGAGCCATGGTCTCTCGTTGCAGGGTGTGCAGAACCCCATCTTGCTCAAACTGGGCGATGTCCTTCAGAGGGTCCCAGGGGCTATGGCTGGAGAGTGCACAAGGCATCCATCAGCAGAGGTGGCAGCCCTGGTGGCCCTCAAAGAAAGGGGCTCTGTCCAAACCCAACCTGCAGCTTCCCTATGGTGGGCGGATCCTCCCAGGGTGTCCACCATCCAGGGTCCACCCTGATTGCCTGAGCCTTCAGCGGACAGGCTGTGGTGAGAAGGGGAAGTGGGAGCCCTTTTGGCCCTCACAAGTACAGGTCCAGGGGCTGGGGATTTAGCTCAGCGGCATAAGAACCTGCCTTGCAAGCAGGTTGTTCCATGAGTTCGATCCCCGGTACCGATTAAAAAAAAAAAACAAGTACAGGTTCAGCATGGTGGGTGCAGTCTGCCAGGCCTGGTCACACTGGGAGGCCCATGGTGGCCTCCTGCCATGCTCACTTTTCATAGCGGTAATGCCACTCTTGGGTGAGCGGATCCAGGCAGAAGAGCTGTGGTTTCCAGGGCGTGAGGTTCTGCTGGCGCTCTCGGGAACGCTGCCGCTGTGCCTCCTCCAACGTAAACTTCTCCTGTGTGGCTTTGTGCTGGTCACCTTCGAGGATGGCCTTGGTAACATGCTGCCAGAGCCTGCAGGGCCAGGGGACCTGTCCTGAGCTGAGGGCCTACTTGGCCATGTCCCCTCAGCAGTGTGCAGTCAGGGCCCTTCTGAACTGGGAGAGAGACTTGGATTGCTTCCAGCAACCGGGGGCTCACTACTTTGCAGGGAGGTGTTTTCCTCAGGGTGCTGTTTTATTGATCCAAGAATCTTTTCTCATTTCCTGCCTGGAGAGACTTCCCTGTGAAGCTTATGGTCACCTGCTGACAGTGACAAAGACCCCTTCCCTCCACATGTTGGCAGTAGGATATATACTCTGCCTTGAGGGGTCCACCCTGAGGACTGTCTTCCCTGCCAGGCGCATCCTGGAATATGCTCACAGCACCATGATCCTGCCAAGCTTTCTGCCTGGTTGTAACAGGCTGTGGTCAGTGGGGTCTCTTGGCAGGAGACAGGCCTTACCTCTCAGACTCCAGCTCTGTCTGCTCCTCAAATAGCACCGTGTGCCGCTTCAGCCGCTGTGTGCGGACCTCCTCACTTGGAGTCCAGAAGAGCTCGGAGTTTCCACTACCCTCCTCCTTGATAAACACGTCTCTGTCCTGCCCCAGATAGCCAGGAGGTATCAGAGTTGCACCCATGATAACCATCCCAGGACCCAGCCTGATGTGCCCCAAAAGATGTCTCTTACCCAGTGGCCAGTGAGACGTGCCAGGACCTCCTCTCCAGACATGATCTTTCCTGAGATCTGGTTGATATTGGTGCTGCCCCCAAAGAAAGGCTACAGGAGACACCAGGACAGATGGATGCCTGTGAGCCAGTAGGAGCCAGAGGCAAATTCTTTGGGGGCTTGAAACAGTCACTCTTGTGGCCATGGTTAGTATGAAGCCCAAAGCCAGAGAAGGCCAACCTTTCCCAAAGGTCTTAGCTTGAGCTCAGGCCTGCAGGGTCCTCATCCTGAGACAAGACCTAGGTCTGTTCAGGCTCCAGTGTGTGACCTGAAGTCATCCCCTTCCTCCCTCACGGTCCCTTCTATCCCATGGAGATATACAGAGCTGATTACTTAGGTACAGTGCTTAGAAAACCTTCCCTGCAGTACAGAAGGGTCCCCCAAAGACTTGCTTCTTCCATGGCCTGAACTCCAGGCCTGCCTCCCCCAGGCAGTACCCACTACCTTGAGTTTGAAGTCCAGCTCAACCTGAAGGTTGTTCTTCTCACAGGCAATGGTCACTTTCCCTCCCAGCTCCAGGGTCATAGTGCCATACAGTAGCCCTGAAATGCAGCCATGTTGGGACTGAGATTCAGCAGCCCTAATCCCTGGAAGGCCTGTGTCAGATCCCAGGAAAACCAAAAGGAGCATGGGTGGACAGATGCTCTGGGAGCAGAGCACACACAGGGAGAGTCTTGCGGCCACAGAACTCAGAGGCATGCAAGTCCCTCAGTAACCATCCACAGGAAGGTTACTATCCTTGCCAGTGCCTCTGCTTAGGTCCAGAAGCTGCCTTTAGACTCTGCTAGGTTGCCAGACTACAAGACACTTGTCACATGTATCCCTGGACTCTGAAGCTGTATGCCAATGCTCACTCCTGAAAAAAGGTCTCCTCCTCACTACTGTGACCCAGGGTGCATCACACTTTTAATTGTTTGAAACAGGGTCTTACTGTGTAAGTCAGGCTGGTCTTGAACTCAGTATGCAGACCAGGCTGCCTCAAACTTACACCAATCTTCCTGCCTCTGCCTGTCAAGTTCTGGGATTATAGGTATGTGCCACTCCTCTGCCCCCCAACCCTTACCCCAGGCCGGGCATGCTTTGTATCTCTGGCCATATGGAAAACTGGAGAAACACCACCAGCTAAACAATACTCCAAAACACTCAGAAATGCAGAACAAAATACACCTCTTTCAAAAAACGAGAAATAACATAAGCTATTTGAAGAGCTAAAAGTCTGAAACATACCCAACCCTCCCTAGGTGGCTAGCTGTGTATCTGGGTCCATGAGAGCACACAACCCAGAAAAGACCTGCAGGGTCACTGAGCTGCTCTGTGGAGTCTCTATGCCACATGGGCAGAGAAGGAAGCCAGAGGCTGCTCAGTGTGAGCACAGGTGCCTGTCCTCTGTCAGAGGGGGTAGGGATGGGGGGTGGGTTGTCCTAGGGAGATGCAGATTTTTTCTGTACCTTATTTTGTGGTTTAGATTTTGGAAACATTTTATTTACATAATGATAAAAAATATAAAAAGTAGTTCCTAGAAATTAAAAGTAAAATGAAACCCAAATTTTACTTTTAATTTGAAAAATCCTCAAAACCAGAACTAGGTATCAGCTGGTGGCCTGAGCTTGGAAGGAGGTGACTCTGAAAATCCCAGTGGGACATGGTTAGGACAAACCCTATCTTAAAATCAAAGCCACTCCAGTTTTCACTCATGTGCAGTGACCCTGATCTTTCTGAGACTGCTGCATGTGTGACAGGGCTTAGGATGAAAAGCAGCTGTGGCCGTGGCTCTAGATGGGTTTCTGGTGTAGGGGAGAGAGATCAGATGCCAGGCCGAGGGGCTGGCCCCAACCTGCCATCTTGAATTGGACAGGAAGAGTAAGTGTGGCCTCTGTTCTTCTGTATTCTACAACGAGAACAATTTTATGCTCAGCTCGCTAGAAAGCCCTCGTGACAATGATCAAGCTACCATTAGAAATGGATCAGACGAACAGCGACGGCTGTAACTGTGATGAACGTGTTAACATCCCTGGATGGTGCACAGCAGAGTGACTGAGAGAGCAAAATTTATGTAGTTTTTCACAATTAAAAATATTTTTAAAAGACAAATATGACTTCTACATTGTTTTCTGTTATAATTTGGACCTAAAATGTATCCCTAAAAGCTCATGTATTCAATGCCAGGGCTATCACAGGGTGAGCAGATCAGGGATTAGGGCTCTCTAGTGAGTCCAGCATGAAAACCTTCCTCATAGGAGTACAGTAGATTGGAGTCCACCCTCACTCTTCCCATCTGAGTTCAAGATGGTGAGTAGACCACTGAACTTCACAGGTGTTAGGAGGTGGCCAGGTGCGAGGGGATGGGTCAGTGGAGAGGGATGCTTTTGGAGAGCTTTGCTCTTGCCCGGGCTCCCCCTACCCTTTCTCTCTCTGTTTTCTGGATGCCATGGGCTGGGAAGACTTCCTCTGCCATGACACTCTACCATGATATTCCTGCCTTAGAGGCCAGCCAATCATAGACTGCAAAAATCTCTGAAACTGTGAGCCAGAATAAATTCCTGTTGTATATGTATAAACCGTTCTCTTTTAAGTCGTATACATCAGATATTTGTCCCAGCAACAGAAGGGTGATTAATACGGTCTATATTTCCCACTGGAAGGAATTCATGTTTTTTGGAGAAACAGTCAATTTGACGTCTATAATGAGAAATTTTCATGTGCTCACAGGGTCACAGGATCACTGCAGAAAGAAGCAAGGTCAGAGAGCTCTGGGGCAGGGGTTCTCGCAGTAGGAGATAAGGAGACAAAGTTTTATGTATATGGACAGCTGCTCCCTACCATTTCAGTTACTTCCTGTTGGGTGATTGGCAGCATTAGACGCCCACAGGAGCTCCAACACAACTGTGAACTACACACAGGAGGGACCTAGGTTTCATGCTGCTTGTGAGAATCCAATGCCTGAGGATGTGAGTGAAGCTGATGTGGTGATGGCCAGCAAATACAGAGTCACATTAGCAGGGTGTTTTGAGTGCATAGAGATCATAATATCTTAATTGCTTGCAGCCTGAGTGGCAAGTGACAATTAAACCTCATCTTGTGGCAGATTTTAGAGTGGCTTTAGAGTAGCAAATGAGTCGATGGAAACAGCTAATTGCAGTAAAACAAGTTCAAGATTCTCATTGATTCTACATCATGGAGAGTTGTATAACTATTTTGTTATATATTTCAGTATGATAATAACAGAAATAAAGCACACAATAAATATAACATGCTTGAATCACCTCCCAACACCACTTCTAACCTCTAGTCTATGAAAATATTATCTTCCATAAAACCAAATCTTGGTGCCAAAAGCTGTGGAGACCACTGCCACAGGGTGTAGATGGGACCCAAAAGCATTCTCAGGCCCAAGCTGGGATAATCTGAGTCTCAAGGAGGACAGTAATTGGAATGTCCTAAAGCCTTCAGGTCTGTTCCTGTCACATCACACAGCAGTATGACCTTGACAATGCCAATGACAGAAAAGAAAGTCATATTTAGAGAAGAGAAAAAAATCTGACATTTTTTTCTCAAAATGAGCTGAGCCTCCTGGGTAACCATGCCAAAGGCAGTTTCTCCTTTGAGAAGCTTCCCACAGATAGATGAAGGAGAGGAGGAGGACCTGGTCCTCCTGCAAAGCCAAACAAACCGCAGATGAGCCATAGATTCAGCATGCCAATGTTGCAGACACAGCGCACCTGCCTTGGAATGACCCTGAGCTCTGTGATGGGCCTTGTCACAAAATGTGGGCTGAATGTGATAGAGCTTCTATAGATCAAGTCAATAAATGAATGAAGACAAAGACAAAAGGAAAATTCCCTGGAGGAAGAAATGAATCAGGAAAATGAGAAAGCACAGGGGGAGGATATGGAAGAGGATGGTCAGTGGAAAGAGAGGGTAAGAGGAGGACAAGGAGGAGAGGAAAAGAGGGAGAAAAAGGAACAGAGAAGGTGAGGAGACGGGGGGTAAGACATAGTGGGAGGAGAAATGAGGGTGAGGAAGAGAAGAAAGAGGAGGGAAATGGAGGAGACAGACAAAGAAGAAGAGGAAGAGAAGACAGTGCAGGATCAGGATGAAGACAGAGGAGGAGTACAAGGATGTTATGAGAAGGAGGAGACTGGTTAGATCTGAGGCCTTGAATTGGAGGCCCTTTGGGAAGCCGCGGCCAGATCCCGGCCACAGCAGCATCCTAGGAGAGCCTTGCCCAGACATCCCCACTCACGACTGTGTCCTCAGCAGAAGGGGAGCTGCAGCAAGCCCGACCACAGCACAGCCAGGAGCAAAGAACACGGTCAGGCTTTGGCTCGGCTCTGAGGTTTAAGATGAAACAAAAGCTGAATCCGTGAGCTGAGTTTGGGATCCACGTGGATACTTCCCCTATGGCCCAGAAACAACTTACTATGGCAAACCAGGAAAAGCTCTCAGCACAATCATATGGTCCCATCTTGGGCTAGAAAGAGCCTTAGTTGGCTGTTGGGTCCCACTGACACCTTAGAGCTCTGTAGACCTTCCTTAAATCGTGACCACATGAGCATATGACATTTCTCACCCCAGACCTTGTGTCTCCAAGGTCTCACTCTATATAGTCATTCACTGAACAAGTATTTATGAGCATGTTTTAAGGCACCTGTGTGGGCAGGGGGGAAACAGCAGCAAACACATTCCTGTATTAGAATTACTAAATCAAGAAGAGAAAAGTGTGTTTACACTGCTTAGAGAGTCCTGAGAAGAGACTGTATACACGATCGGAGAAAAGCAAAAAGAAAAGGAAGGTCTGAAACAGAACCAAGGAGAATTTATACGGGAAAAACACAAGACAAAAGAAAACAAATCCCAGTGAAATTGAAAAATCCATGAATGAGTTAAGCTTCAGGAAGAATTGAACACAGAACTAAAGAAATTACAGAGAAGCTAAAGATATAGGGTAGAAATACCTAGAGACACAAGGCACAGAAGAAGACTGTTTCAGTCATGTCTTTGTGAAGTTGTAGAAGGAAAAATGAAGAAATCTGGAGTGAGGTAATATTAAAAATTAGCTAAAAATTTCCAGGCTTGATCAAAGCCATGGAACCTCAGATTTAAGACTTCAAAGAAAAAAGCCAACCAATCAAAACCTTTGAGGTGCAAAAATTTAAAAAAAGAAATTCAGAGATCTGAAGAAGTTAAAAATGACATAAGGAATACAAGATGCATAATGCATAGTGAAAGAGGACAATCTAAAAAAAGACTACATGCTGTAAATTACAACTATGTGACATTCAGGCAAAGACAAAACTATGATGACAGTAAAATGATCAGGATCTGCCAGGGCTGAGGAAGGAGAGGTGACCAGGTGGATTAACCCAGGAGTGTTTGACCATAAGAGAATTTTAGTGTAGTAAAACTATCCGTTGATGCTTTAATAGTGGGTCCATGACAATATAGATTTGTCAAAACCCAGAGAATGTACAACACAAAGAATGACCCTAGTGGAAACCATGAACTTCAGCTAGTAATGTACTAATACTGGTCTATCAGTTGTAACAAACCTACCACATTAATGCTTGATGTTAACAGAAGGAGAAGCTTGGTGTGTGTGGGTGCGTGTGTGTAAGGGGTAATGGGAACTCTGTACCTTCTGCTCAATTTTTCTATAAACCTAAGACGACTATAAGAAATCAAAGGCTAATAAGTAAAATATAACAGACAAGATGTGCAAACTTGGACACAGTAATGAAACTTCAGAACACCGAAGACAGAGATCTCAAGGTGCATACAGAGTAAACAGGTATGGTAGCAGAGATTGACAGCCGACTGATCACCCACCGCAATGACAGCCATAAGAAAATTAAACTGTTTATAAAAGGGAGAAAAATAACACTCTTCCTGGAATTACATACTCGGATTTAAATACATCACTGATGAATGAGGAGGAAGTGGGATATATTGGAAGAAATAGAAACAAAAGCCCTTACACCCACTGGGTTCCTGAGGGACAGCCTGGGCTCTTCCTTGGGGGTGGTGGGGGAGTGCTCACCTCTGCAGTGGGCATAGGGCATGGTGAGGGTGTAGTCCTCTGCTCGGTTCAGGAAGGTGAGTGTGGCCTTGCCATCCAGGAGAGCTGACAATGAGTTCCCTAAGGAGACAGGGGCAGGGGACCAGTGAGCACAGACTGTCCCTTGGCGCTCAGGCCACCCCTGGAGCCATAGGGTCTGAGCTCCTTTCCAATAGGTGTAAAGAGCTCCTGACCCCTCCAGCTGTGCGGCTGTGGGTCAGTCGCTCAGATTCTGTTAGAGCCTTGTCCAGTTTACACGTCATCTGCCCTAAGAAACGGTTACATAACTTGCTGCAGGTTAGCGGTTTATTTCAGTTACTAAGTCAGGGCTTCTCAGGGTAGAGGCTCTGAGCTGAGTTCTTCTTGCATTTTAAATACCCCTGTTTTGGGAGGCACTTCACCCAGGACTAGGACTCACAGCCACTGGCAGGACAGGAGCAAAGGATGGAAAAGGTAAGCTGAAGTTGAGTACAGAGGCCATTAAGCGAGGCACACAGGGGCACTCAGCTCTCTCACACCTGCTCACAAATGACAGCAGTAAACAAGGTATGCCTGATGGGGGAAATGGAGAGGGACACTTCCTACACATCAGGCTGCCACGGCCAGGGCAGCACCAAATCACAGACCTTTCTTCAGTGGCAGACTGTTCCACCTGCCTGTCCCATGCGCTCAACACAGACTCTGAGTTCTTTCACCACTGGTGTGCTTCCTGGTACAGGCAGACATGCCCTCTGCCACCCCTTGAGGTCCTGGGACCAGGCCTTCCTCCCACATGCCCAAGGATCAAGCACCCAGCTGAGCGCCCTCACCATAGAATCGGGACTTGGCTGTGATGCTCCCACTCATGCAGAAGCCATCTTTTCGGTTGCTGACGTGGAAGGCAGACACGGGTGGATGGTGGGACACCTGTGGCCAGAGAGGAGGCTCTGGAGACATCCACCGGGCACAAGTTCACCTTCACATCCTTCTCTGACCCAGGAGCAGACATTCAGGGTATCCTCAGGGAATTCCAGGGGAGCAGGGCCTGAGTCACAGGCCTGGGAAGACTTGAATCTCTGACCTACTGTGGATTGTCCCTTGGGAAGCAAGATGCACTGCCCCCTTCCTCAGGAGACACAGTGATCACCCCCATGATGCTGTGTCTGCACCATCTAGGAGAATCTAGATCACTACCCACTGGGAGGATGTGAGACCAACGTCAGACCTGCCCTGCCAACTGCCAGGCCTGTCCGTCACCTCCCCTCACACTACCCCCACTCTGGCAGCCTGGCCTGGGGGAGGCAGGGTGGGCGCCTTGCCTGCTCTGCTATGTAGAAAGTGCGGCTGTTGGTCTGGGGGTGGAGCCAGCAGCAGCGGAAGGTCTCCCCTAGGATGGGGTTGTAGGGCTTCTTGATTCCCTGCAGGAAAAGCACAGAAACGCATTGGAGGAAGCGGGCAGGAAGGCGCCTCTGAGCAAGGGAAGGCCTTGGGCCTGCGCAGGACAGGGTAAACAGAGGGACAGTGTGGCAGGCTGTACCCAGCTCTAGGAGGGAGCCTGGTTTGCTGCCAGCATCTGGGAACAGCACCCTGCTTCTGCTTTGGGGAGTTCACTCTGCCCATGGGGACAGCCTCCAGATACCCTGTCCACTTTTTGGCTCTTCCTGGACTTTGGGTACAGCCCACACATGGCCTGTTCAAGCTGAGCTCAGGAGACACCAGGCAGTGGGAGACCTGCTCTGAGAGTCCGGGGTGGTCCCTTCCTCTCTTTGGCCTCAGTCTCCCCATTTGTACAGTGAAGGGGTAGAACTAAAATATCCATATTTAAACTTGTGTTGCATGGAACCCCAGGGCTGCTGGTGGGATCTCAGCAGTGGACAGAGCTGCAACCACCCCCATCACTACAACAAGGGCAGTTCTGCTGTCAGCTGGGCATTGAGGTTGAATTTCTTAAAGAAGAGTCTGTGGCTAGAAATTATGAAAACCCTGGACCTAAAGTTACCTTGAAGCTCAAGCCACAAACCCCACTCTAACACAGTGGTGCATCTCTAACACAGCATGAGGTTGCTTCCTTGGGATAGGGAAAGGGTCCAGCTTGGTCTTTCAGGGAGCAGGGATGACCTTTTCGGGCCTGGCTTAAGCAGTCTAGAGGGTCACTCCATGGGAGGTCAGAGTCCTGCGCTCCATCTCTGAGGAACTGAGACCATGATGGGGATGACCACAATCCTTCAAAGCTGTGGGGGCGGGAAGTGGGTATGGATTCATGAAGGGCCCTAGCATGAGGGCTGAGGACAGACCCCTGGCTGCAGTGTCCCCCCTGGCCACCTCTTACCTTAGGCTTCTTGTAGAAGCCAGACAGGTACCACCGTAGCACGAGCTTGATTCGGCCATAGGCGCTGTCCTCCATTGCAGCCCTGCGTGGAGTGGGGGCTCTGAGTCCACACAGGGGCCCCAATACCCTCCCTCTCCCCTCCCCCATTCCAGTCTCTGCCATGCAGCTGAAAGAGGCCACCATGGTCCTGCTACTCTGGACACCCTCTGCTGATCCTGCCATGTAGCTTGAAGTAGGGAAACCCCTGCCCCACAAAGTGCCAGGGCCACTCATGTGGGAGCAGACAGGCTTGGTGTTGCCAGGATGCCACTGCCACCTCCAGGAAGCCTCTGGATGCCTGCATCCTGCTGTGCTCCCTCTACCAGGCTCCCAAATGTGGGGGTCCCTACAGTCCACCCTACTGGGCTCTGGGGTCCTCTGTGGGAGTGCAGGGCTGCAGGCCTCCCTCCCTGGCCAGCCGCGCACCTGGACAGCAGGTCAGCATGGTAGTAGTAGTCCGAGAGCTTGTTGAGGAAGGAGCGTGGCTCCAGCACAAAGGTGGGCAACACCACACGTGACAAGTCCATGCCAGGCCGCAGCTGTCGCAGCAGTGTCCACATCAGATTTTTGTTTTCCTCCGACACCGTCTCCACCTGGGACACCTCACCCTGCTGCAGCAGAAGACACAGTCAGGCCCTGGGGAGTTGTGAGAGTGACTTCTCTGTGCTGCCTGAGGAGCCAGATGAGGCAGGACAGAGGAGCTGGCCCTGGCTGGAGGAAGTATGCATGCAGGGTGACACATGTCCCCCTACTTGGTGTGGATCATGACCTGGTCCCTGTACCTTGAGAGCCTGATTGGTTGCATCTGACCTTTACCCTTCTCTAGGTGCCCATCTTTCCAGAAGAAGGACGCTGACCCTGTCCAGGTCACTCATGCCACCTCCTGGCAGACCAGGGTCTTTTCTTGGCCCGGGTGAATCCCCCAAGTCCAGGTGGGATCGGGCCCAACCAGAACCCATCTGTGGACTTCAGTGACTGTCCCACAGAGAGGCAGAAGCCCCTCTCCCTGGCCTCTGGGTCCAGGACACAGAGAAGCCTTAACTGCTCCAACCTCACAGCTGCCCAGGGAGGCAGGTATGCAGACCTGCTCCTCCATTAGAAAAAATACTGTTTTATTTTGTTGTTGTAGCCACTTTGTTGAGGATAGCTGGTGTACACAAAGCTGTCAATATTAACATACCGACATTGGAGGTGTGTGGAGCCACAAAGCCTGCACCACAGCCCACCACAGCCTCCGCATCCCCTATGAGGACCCAGGCTTACACCAGAGTCTCTTCCTTCTCCAGGTCACAGGGTGAGGAGTAGAGGCTGCCCCAGATTCCTCTCCTTTTCTTTCTACCACTTCTAACCCTCATTATGGCTGCCAAACACATACCGTGGAGTTACTAAGCCTTGGGCTCTTCCTTTTGTCTTTGTGTTAGGGGCGGGATGCAGGGCCTTGTGTGCCCTCCACTAACTTGCAGGTGGCAGAAATATCTTTAAAGGCCCACAGAGCTGTCTGGGGACAGCCAGGAAGGAAGGTTTTGTGCTATGCTCACAGGACAGGGTTGTCCAGGAAGCCTTTGCCCTGGGGAAGTCTGCAATACCCAGGCAAGGCCAAGAGCCATCTCCCTGGGATGGATAGTTTTTCTGTTGTCACTGCTGGGAGGCCCCTGTAGCTTCCAGGCCCAAGGACATAACTGGACTTGGCTGGAACCCCCAAGCCTTCCATCTTTTAGTGAATCTAGGCTGGAGGAGAGGAGGGTACACTCCGGTTCTCGGGGACAGGCTGAGCTCTGGGTTTCTACCTTCAGAATTAGACGTCACAGAATTCCAGGGCACAGGACTTTTGCCCTCCTCCTTTACTGAGTAGACAAGATCATACAGCTGGTGTGGGAAGGGGTGGAATCTGAATTCAGGGCTGTCTACATCTCAAGAGAGAGCAGAATGAGGGCCATGGCAAGCAGACTGTTCTCTCATCATCGTGGGTCCCAGGTTATTCCGGCCCCAGTACCTTGACTATTGCCTTAGTAAAACCCTGTCCCATCCCAACATCCTTCCATTCCTACACCCCCACACCAGGGGTGTTGGGCACAGCAAAACAAGTAGTGTTCACTTGCAAAAACACAGCTGCACCCACACTGCCAGGGTAAGCCTGGGAGACCCCACCCCAGAGCCTGTTTTCTCCCCCTGCCCCTCGGTGCCAGGTTCGGGTGGCGCTCACCTCTCCCAGCTCTTCCTGGACCTGCTCCACGTAGGTGGTTCCTCTTCGCGGCCCCCCAGGGCCCTCAGACTGGTCGCTCCCACTCTCATTGGTCTTCCTGCTGTGGTCCTGGGTCTCTGCATCTGAGTCTTCGGCATTTTCTCGCTCGGACTTGTCTGAGAACCCGTCATTCTCCAGGTGGTTCTCCAAGGAAGACCCGTTCAGCCTGGAAGGAGGACACGGCCATAGGCATCTGGTCACGCACGCCAACCTGGGCACACGGTCCTGCATTTAACTCCTCCATTATCGAAGTGGACACCATCCACCCCTCTGCATAAACGAAGAAGCTGAGGCTCCAGGGCTTGGGTAGTTCCCTCCCCACCTCCCATGTGCAGGATCTCCAGCCCCGGCTCACGGGAACAAGTCCTGGTCCGGGGGGACGGCCACCGACGCGGGCAGCCCATAGACTGAGGAGGGAGACGCGTCGGGCGAGGACCCCGGCTCCCCGTCGCGACCCTGCTTGCAGGAGCTCAGTCTCAGCAGACTGGAACAGCGCAGAGCCAGCTCCAGGGCGTCCAGCCAGCAGCGGCCTGTAAGGAGCAGGAGGGTGAGTTACAAGGTGAGCCAGAGAAAGAGTGCCCTGCCCGCCTCTGCAACCCGGAGCCACACTCCACTTCTTACTGGGAGATTTCCTTGCAGAATCAGCAGGTAGTCTGCCCCTCCTAGCCACGCCCCCCAGACGCACGCTTCAGCCCCTCCTCTCCTGGCCACGCCCCCCGCTCAGCCCTGAGAGACCATCCTCCCAGAATCCTCCAGCTAGAAATCCTGCTGCAGATTCCACGTGGCCTTTTGAGGACCTCCAAGGATGCACATTTCCATGCACCCGTGTCGCAGACAGAGGCTAAGATAAGGATGGTCAGGCCCCTCTACGCCCACATGTCTAGAGCTGGCTGTCCACCTGGAGGGCTGGCCTGCAGATCCCTCTCGTGGAACAGGGAGCTGGGCTTCCCTGGCTGGGAACTGGGGTCTGGGGCGCTAAGCTTCTGGGTAATAGAGTGGGGCGGTGGCAGGAGGCTGGGAGTGAGCCTTGCATGCTGGCCAAGGAGTCACTGCACTGCCCTGGCGGCACAAAGGCAGTGGGGTGAGTGAGGGATAGGCCAGCACCATCCCTCTGTGCCACGAGGTGTCTACCCAGGTGACACCGGATGACCTGGCATCACTATTAACAGCAGCCCTTCCACTCACGCAAGTGATGTGGGGTGGCCTAGAAATAAGTGTCATACTGTTGGTATGGGGTCACATAAGTGCGGGGGCTCTGGCTTAAAGGAGAATGAAGCATTCTTATGTCTCCAAGCCTTTCCATTGCTCTTGAAGATCGGGAGTTTCTTTCCCTTCCTAAACTGGGAGACCTGCCCTCGGGGAAGCATTCCTGGGGTCTGGTATTGGGAGCCGCTCTGGAATCTTAGGGATGGGTCTACTGGGATGGATGGTGCCTGAGTGTCTCTCTTGCTGGGGGACAAGTTAGGTCCTGCTGCGGTTCCTTGCAGGCTGAGATAGACAGTGCAGGGGCTTGGAGGTCACAGGTGTGTGGGTTGCACACAGTATGAGAGGTGGTACAGTCACTACTGCTGAATTGGGCCTGGGTTCCTGAACACACATGTTTTATGGCTGACACAAGGGACTAGATGTCCTGAACACCGCACACCCTTTGAAGCCCATTTCAAGGCCTCTCTTCCTCCTCCAGGAAGCCCACCTTGATGCCCACAGGGGCCATGGATTTTTAATCTCTGCCCTTGCCAACCTGAGACTCCTCTCAGGCTTTACCTTTGTTTGATGGTTTGCTGTTTACCTTCCCTTTTCCCCCCCAAGACTTCAAGTGCCACGAGGGAAAGGCTTCCCTGTTCATCCCAGGGTCCTGGACTGGCCCACAGAGTGGGAAAATGATCATAATATCAATAGAACCTGATGACATTAATTACTACAGAGACTCGTCAGCCAGAGAAAGGAGTGTGGATGCGGCATTTGACCACGAGGGGGCAACATGACACAAGCCGAATAAGAGCAGACATCCTAGTCCGGAAGGACCGAAGAGGACTCAAAGTTAGGCAGGGTCCACCACCCTGGCCAGAGGGTGACCGCACTCAGAATGAATCCCACAGTGAATCCCAGTGATCGTCATGGCTGCAGCTGAGAGAGCCACTATTCAGGGCTTACTAACAAACGGCAAGTTTTCTGGGGCTCAGGGGACATTCAGTATACCCCGAATCTAGCACTCTCTCCCCAGGGGGACTACCCTGCCTCAGTTTCCTCATCTCTCAAATAAAAATGATGACAGTAGAACCTACTGTGGTGGAATTCGGTTACTGTCACCTTTCCTAACCTCTGGAAATGTGACAGATATTGCTGGTACATTTACCCATGGAGAGATTGAAGCCCAGGTGGGCACACAGGTGTGCGAGAGGCCTGCCTGGCCCATGAGTTCAAGTTGTCTTCCTGGGGATGACAGAGAGCCTGGAACTTGGCTTCCTAAACTTCTAGGGATGAGAGGGGACAGGCATGCAGGATGGGGTGAGGGCTGGACTCACCATCTGACTCAGAGGCGGCCCTGAAGATCAGGTAGCTGCTGGGCAGGGGCTGTGTGATGGAGCCCACACTCTCGCCTTTGGGGCCCTGGACAGGCAGAGACCTGCATGTCAGCTCAGGCAGGGAGGAAGAGGGGACAGGCAGGAACTCTGTCCCCCTCCTTGCTGGTTCCTCTGCCCTCACCTCTCCAGCTCTGAGCTTTCTGATTTGGGATGCCAGAAGCAATAAATGCAAATCCAGGATGCCCAGCTGAATTTGAATCCCAGAGAAACAATGAAGAGCTTTTTAGGACAAGTACCTCCCATGCAGTACAATATCTGGAATATACTTAAAAGGCCATTCCTGGCTTACAGTGGTTTGGCATGATATTCTGACTTTATGATGGTGTGAAAGGGTACCCATACAATCATTCTGATTTTCACTTTTAGCACAGTGTTCAATAATTTCGCGAGAGAGCCAACACTTTATCAAGTCACCTCTCTCCTCCAGCTGTGAGCTAATGCTAGCATTCTGAGCACGTCGTAGGCAGTGGAGGTACAGCTGGAATACTCAGTAGGGGAGGTGTGTCAAAGGCATCTTTGACCTGATGGCTTTATCTGGATGTGACTTCATTGCAAATCCAGAATCTTTGCTAAGAAACTCCAGTGTTTCTCTGAAATCCAAGCATGAACAGGCTGTTCTGAATTTCCCCTGAGATCCTTGTCCCCACTGGTCCCAGTTATGAGGGCTGAGGTCTGGGTCAGGAGCAGTGCTGTCCTCCCCTTTGGATCATGGCTGGGTGATGGGGTGACGGTAACTTTACTCCCCAAGGGCTGTCAAGAGCTGCAGGACCCACAAAGGGTAGGTGTCCCTGTCTGATCCTCAGCCCTGCATGATGCTCAGAGAAGTAAAGAGACTTTTTGGACCGCCCTCCATGCACACACAGCTGGTGGAGATGGTCCAGTAGGAACCTGTCCCTCCACTACTGCAGCTTCAGGTGGAGTTTCCTGGTCCTAACATCCCCACTCCACCTGCTTCCTCGTACCTTCACGGCCCAGACAGACTGGTCAAGTGGGTGGAAAAGCTTGAAGCAGAAACCGTCCTTCTTGGAGGGGCGCTCGATGAGCTCGCAGCAGTGCAGCAGCACGGTGCCCACCCACTGACCCACCTTGGGGGTCTTGTAGATGAGCAGCACCCCTGGCTTCAGCACGCACCACAGCTTGGTCCAGCTCTTCAGGGTCCCCCGGATCTGGGGATAAGGGGCACGTGGCCAACATCACCACCAACAAGGCCACACTTGGGGCATCTGGACGGTTGGTGGGGGCAGATGGGGATAGAGTACACTAAAAGCCCTTTGTCCTCTCCTGCTCCCTCTTCCCTAGCCCCCGGGAGGTACCCACTGTCTGCTCAGCGGGGGCTGGCATTGCCTGAACATGTAACTCAAAGCAAAGCTCAGGGTGCTCTCTGGGCCACAGCAGACTGCTCCACCAGTTTTAACTTTTGGTTTGCTTGCTTGCTTTTTTTTTTTTTTTTTTTGAGACAGGCTCTTGCTAAATTACCCAGGCTGCCCTTGAACTGTTGATCCTCCTGCCTCAGTTTCCCAAGCAGCTGGGTTTTGAGGGGTGTGTCCGTATGTCTGGTTTCTCTTCCAGCTTTAGAAAGGAGCATTTAAATGCTGGCAAGTCTGAAAATATACATAGCAGCCAGGGACAGATTCACTGGCGGAGGCTGTTGAGGGTCAAGGGCTTCCAAGGGTCTTGGGAGGAACTGACCACAAGTGATGACACTTGGAATTGCCAAGTTTACAAATTTGAGACAGTTGTCATTTGTTTTCTCTTTCTCACTCAATATTCCTTTGTAAAGAATTTTCGATCCATTTCTACGTAGGTGGAGAAGGCCCTGTCCATGCCTGGCCGTCTTGTTTGCTTTTCCAGGAGGCCTGAAGGGGCAGTTCAACCCCCACTGCGTGATGGGGGACACAGACAGGCTGGGGGCTGATGCTTAGGGAGTTCTTTACACAGCCTCAGACTTGGAACCTGGTTTCCCCCTGGAAGTCAGAGCCTTGACCTCCTTGAGACTCTGCTGACCCCTGCTACACCTCTGCCTTGTTTGGAAATTAGGTCCTGGCAGATGTAATCATGGGGAGAGAGCTAGAGTCTTGCTGGAGTAGGGGTCTCCACTAGTGACCAGTTCCTCACAGGAACGAGGAGAAGACACAGAGAGACACAGAGATACAGACTCTAGATGACCGTGTGACCACAGAGATAGGGACTCCCTGGAGCCTCAGAGCTATGCAAGAGGCAGGACAGATGTGGCCCTGGAGACTCCTTGGTCTTGGACTTTGGCCTCCAGAGCTGTGAGGGGATGAGTATCTGTTGCTTTAAGCTACCTGGGCTGTGGTCATTTGTTACAGCAGCCTCAGGATGCTTACACAGATTTATGGTGACAAACATGCTGGCTATCTCCTGAGGGATCTGTGTCCCCTCCTGCCCACCCCACCCCCAGTCCCCTGAGGATACCTGCTATGCAACCCTCACCTACCTTCAGGCTGTCAGCCATGATGACCACGCTGGGGTCAGTCAACGCACTGAACAGTTGCTTCGTAGCTCGCTTCTTCTCCTGCCTGTAGTTCTCCTTCTGTGCCTGGGACCAGGGTACAAGAGCAGTGAGTCACAGAGAGCCTCCAAGTTGCCCAGCTCCTCCCAGCATGCAGCCACAGTGGGGACTGGACAGGAAGAGGACAGGCAGTGGGGGCAGAGGAAGCGGGGGCGTGGTGTGTGCTCCACCCTTTGGCAGTCCGAGGTCCCCACTTTGGGGAATTCCTGGACATGCCGTTCTTCCCTCCCCAGACATGTACCTACCTTGAGAGTCTCCTTCTTGGAGACCCTGGCTGTTGGGGACATGCTCTCCTTCTCAGACCCATTGCACAGCCGGTACTCTGCCTGCAAGAGAGAGATGGGGGGTGGCTTCAGGCCAAGCGTGTGAAGTACAGAGGTCAGAGAAAGCCACTCCTTGCCCTCGCTCCCTGGCACTGTTTGTGCAGCCCACCAGCACTTCTGTGGGTGCCAGGTGTTGCATGGAGGGACATGGGTAGTTGAGGTGAAGTCTCTTGCTTGCGTGCCTTACACTGGGTGACTAGAAATGGGGATATATCTAACACTGGGCACACACAGGGTCAGTCAAGGGCTGGAGGAAACATACAGGGATGTTGGGGGTCAGACTTGAATTCCAACAGGTCTGATTTGCCCTTCAAGGATGGCTTGTGGCTGCAGTGGGGGTGGGGTAGCCAGAATTTCTTCAGTCAAGGTGGATGGGCATCAGAGGCTGGGTTTGCAGAGGGGAAGTTTGTGGCAGTTGTAAGAAGAAGGTGGTGACAAGCTCCCAGCCTTTACGCACTCAAAGAAATAGTATCCCTCACCCCTCAAGCCCTGCGTCCCCCGCTGGTGCCCAGAATCTCCACTCGTTGGCCACTGCCATTGGCAAGGATGGCATGTGTAGGGGCCTCGCACCCTGGCTCTCTGGGAATCTCTGTGTGGTGGGCCAATGCCCAGGGCCTGCCTGAGGCTGTAGGGTGTGAGGCTCCTGGCCCAAGCTCACTTCTGAATTCATGGTCCAGGAGTGGCAGTGCAAAAATCTTGGGGCCAGAAGGGCCCCTGGTTCTTCTAAGGATGGAGAAACTGAGGCTGAGGGGTAGGGATTCCCAGGACACAGAACCATGTCTGAGGGTGTAGCACACTACGGCTTGGATCCTTCTTGCTCTCTCTCACTGCATGCTTGTGCACCAAGCATGGTTCCCACAATTTTAAGTGGCTAAGAAATCAGATGAATAATATTTTGTGAGATGTGCAAATTATATCAATTTTAAATTTCAGCGTCTGTAAATAGTTTTCTTGGCCCGAAGCCAGGTCCTTCATCTCTTGTGGTATTGCCTGTGGCTGTCTTTGCACTGGGGTGACAGTGCTAAGCCCTTGCAGCAGGGACCAGCCTCAGGGAACCTAAGGTTCTGACCATCTGGTCATTTCTAGAAGGAGCCTGCCTGCCTGCTCAGCTCTCCTGGACAGTGCCCTTGCCTCTTGTATCTGAAGAGGGAACCCCCCAAGATTCCCAGCAGACACCCGGAACTGTGCATAGTGGCCAATCTAATGAATATATGAGGTATGATCTAAAAACACAGTGAATGTGTCAATTAAAACAGGTTTACTGTGGTAAAAGACACATTGCCATTAACCCCCCTCGAAATAGTCCCCCTCACTTTGACCACACTTGAACCTCTGTTCTTGCCACTTTCTGAAGCATTCTGGAAGTCCTCTTCCATGAGTCTCTCTAGCTGTGCCAACATGGCTACTTTGATGTCCTAAATCAATTTTAAAAAGCTTGTCTTTTATGATCATTTCAGCTTTTGGGGAAGAGCTGGAAGTCATACGGTATCAGACCCAATGACTAAGGGGGATGTGGTCATCCGTAACTTTTACATGAGCCTGTCTTTCACTGCATGGCATGGTAGCAGCAGCTACCACTTTGTTAAATCACCCCTTGTGAAGGTACGAACAAGGACTTCCAGAACTGCTGGAGAAAATGGCAAGGATGATGGGATAAGTGTGTTCAAGGTGAGGGATGGTACTTTGAGAGTGATTAAAAAGTTTTTAAGTTTAAGCATTCACTATATATTATGATCACGTAGCATACACTGTGTGCTTTCCTATAAATACACGTGTATAAGGTTTAATTTATAAGTTAGACATAGTTACAGATTAACAGTAACTAATAATAAAATAGAACTGCAAAAAGATCTGTAATAAAAGTTATGTGAATGGACCTTTCATCCTCTCTTCCACACCTGCTTATCCCAATGAAAACATTCCAGGAGGGAAGGGCATAGGAAGAGGATCCGGGGGCTCTGACCAGGAAGAAATCTTTTTTTTTTTTTTTTTGTCTTTTTCCTTTTTATTGGTACCAGGGATCGAACTCACGACTGCCTGCTTGCAAGGCAGGCGCTTATGCCGCTGAGCTAAATCTCCAACCCCAGGAAAAAATCTTTGAGTTGAGGATGAATCGTGATGGAACCAGATCTGAAGGAGCCAGACACTGGCCAGATGACACTCAAGGTCACACAGAGTAATAGCAGACAGGTCAGCTGAGGATAGTACATAACTTCCCCACCGCCAGCCTGTCAGGTGGCCTGGGCACCGCCACACTTGGTCAGTGTTGGGACCATGGCCTCACCAGACCCTCTGGGGAGAAGGGAGGGTCCTCCCCACCCCCACCACCCCTGGACCCAAGTCCTTCCCACCCAGGAAGATGCATGGACTCCCTCAGAACTTGGGACACCCAGGGAAGGTGTTCCCAGCACACTTTGTGCCTTAGGGGTCTCCCTGCAACAGGAGAACTTGCGGTCCTTTCATGAGTGAGTTTTACTCTTGAACTTCCACGTCCACAGCAGCCTCCCTTCCCAGGCACCCTGGGTCTTTTTAAGAAGGCAGCTTTAATAAAACACCCCAAATCACATCTGACTGTCTCTCATGCAGTGCCCCTCCCCAACTGAGTTCCACAATCTGGGATTTGGGGCAGGAAATGGCAGCTTGGATGGGTGGCCACACTCCCTGTCCCGTGGTCCCAACGTGCTGGGCTCTTACCGGTGGCATCTTTGCAGAGCCGGGGGTTGGGGGCTCTTCCTCCTTTGGCAGTGATGGGCTGTGGGGCTCCATATCCTTCCCTGAAAGACAACACTCAGGGTCAAGGTAGGGATGTGGTGGTCCAGGCTTTGCAGGCAAAGGTAGAAAGCCAGCCAGTAGTGGTGGCGGCTGCAGATACTGCCTTGAGACACCTAGCAAATGTCAGCAAGCCTCACCCATGGGAGGGACCCACGAGCTCTAGCCAGGTTTACCTGACTACAGGAGGAAGCTGGTAGTGGCCAGCAGAAACCAGGGTGACCTGGGTCTGGTGTGGTCTGGCTTTCGGGGTCTTATGTCCCCCAATTCTCAGGTGAAGATTGGGGCACACGGGTTTGAAGTGCTGGGCTGCATATCCCTGTGGCATTCCAGAGTCCTGTACCCGAATTACAAGGAAGATGGCTGGATGCCCTCCTTGGTTCTACCATGGCTGACAGAGGGAAGGAAATCTGATTGTCTGGATTCAACCCAGGGAAATGGATCCATCATCCTGGGTCCTCTTGCCCTGAAACCAGTTTCCAAGGCTGAGTTTATGGGCAGGAAGAACAGGACAGGGCAGCAGAGGAGGCCTGACACCCACCCCGTGGGCTGATCCTGTGGTGTATGGGCCAGTGGTCAGAGCAGCATCCTCTAGGGTGAGGCAAGACGCCTTCTGCCAAAGCCACAGGACACAGGCAAGTGCCTGGGAGCAGTAAGGAGAGACACCCACAGGACCAGCTGGAAGGTCTGCAGACCACAACCCTGGAGGCCCGGGAGTGCTTCTCCCCTCAAAAAAACCCAGGGCAGGGACCCGAAGAAGCGGTTCTGCCAAAGATCTCCAAGCAGCAGCCAGTTAGGTGCCATGGAAGCTCTGTCCCCAGAAAGGTGGCTGCCTTGCTGTGTGACTCAGTCCCTGGAGGTCTCTGTGCACACAGTGATTATGCCCTGACCCAAGCCTCAGTGAGTCGGCAGAGCTCTCAGCAGACACTCTCAGTGCTGTCTTGGGGACCACTGTGCAGCCAGCAGAGCCCACCTGTGCAGTGCTTCCTCCAGGCAGGGAGGACACAGGGCCCTCTGAGCACCGAAGTTGGAGGTGCCAGGGGAGTGACAGGCCAGTGCTGCTCTTCCCTTTGCAGTCTGGTCACCGCAACCTGCCTATCACAGCCCTGTCTGCATTCTGCACCAGACCGAGCTGCTCTGAGAACCAAAGCCCTGGAAACTGACCACCGCTGGGGACCCGTCTCTTCCCTCCCTACCCCTGCTCCTATGAGGGCCATGCAGCCGGGGCCAGGTGAACAAGGGCGTAGGAGTTATTGTAAGTTTTCCTGTGTCCAGTATCATGTGACTGTCCACAAGACTCTCCCTATTCTGGGCTTCAGTTTCCCCATCTGTTAGCAGAGACGGATGGGGTGCCCACTGGCCACTGAAATCCTGATGATGGGGTACTGATGCCCTCCCACTCATCCAGGCAGCACTAGTAATGGGCAGGAAGGTTAGGGCCTCCTTCTAGGCCCACGATGGGTAGCAGGAGAGGGGTGACCAGCTGGAGTCTCCTAGGGCCAGCACCATCCCAATGCCTCTCCCTCTATGCCCCAATAAGGAAGAGCTAGGCCCTCGGGTGATCAGCAGTCACAATCGGACAGAAGGGACTCAGCTCCTACTTGTTGGGCGGGAACCTGTGTGGACAATGGGGCTGGAAGCCTAGAGAACATCAGCAGGTGTGGGGGGCCCCCGTCCCCAAGCATTCTGGTGCTCAGCACTTTCTCCACAGCAGCACTCAGTAGGCTGCTCTGAACTGTTCCCGCCCAGAGACCAGGACCTCTCAGCAGCAGGACATAGTTACTAACACTGTCCCCACGTCACAGGTCAGTAAACGAAGGTCTAGTGGCTGGCCTGGGCTCATCCAGCCAGGATAGCCAGGCTGAGGCTCAAGCTTCCTGTCCCTGGGATGTCTGGGATGACTGTACCTCACTACCCTCTGAGTGAGACAAGCTGCCCCTAAGGATGGACTGTGAGGGCCCTGTCATCCTCCATGGCCAAATGGGCTTCCCCTGGGCCCGCAGAAGCCAGCACTTTAACATGCTACAAATCCTTTGTCCATCAGAGCCACACTGGCCTAGTACAGGGGTGTAAACAGAGTAGTGTGTCACCCTTACTGGTTGCGAGGGCATGGGGACGAGATCTCCTGAGGTCTCATGGTGGCCACAGAGCCAGGGAGACCCAGCCGCCCACAGCCAACACTAACCTGGACCAACTGGGCCGAGTTCATTCTCACAGCCCAGCAGCAGGTGCCGCGTGAGTTTCCGGGGGTCAGTCTTCTGCGGGGTGGAGGTCGGCGGACACAGTGAGAAACGGCGCCGGAGAAAGACCTCCTCCTTCATGGCGTGGGCACTGGGTGGCTTCTGGGAGGACAAAGGAGGGAGGACACACAGTCACGCCTCATGCTGGATGGCCTGGTGCCGGAGGGAGCCCCACCACCCAGGAAATGGACAGGCACCCCTGGTGGTGATCCCACCTCTTAGGACTTCTCAGAGACAGACGAGGAGGGCTGGAGGGTGGGCGGGGGTGATTAGCCAGGGAAGACGGTATGGCCGACCTCAGGAAAGTGGCTTTATCAAAGGCTGGGCTTTCCTAGGACTATAAAGGGGGGCAGTGACCACAAGGATGGTGATCATGATTGAATGGACCTCAGTGAGCTGCTGACTCACGCTAGCCCTGGAGTTTCCCTTCCAATGATGGCTCTCTATAGCAGGAAACACTCACTTAGCACACATGGCGGAGTGGTACCTGTCACACAGGACTGGTGAGATGAGGCCAGGTAGCCCCAGAGTGCCAGGAAGTGTTGCAATGCCTGGGGTATCCTTGGGGCTGCCTTTGCTCTCTCAACTCAAGATCCATGGGACCCACCCTCCCAAACTCCCTTGGCTGGCCAAAGCTTCATCAGGCACTGCCCCTGGGCTGGCTGTCATTACCCCAAATACCTTAAAAAAGAGAGGCTAAGGTGAGCTCAGCCAGGTGCACTAGAATTCACAGTCAGCTGCAGTGCCACACTCCTGCCACCCAGCACTGTGGGGGTGGGTGGGGGAGCATTCCAGGGTGCAAACAGAAGGAGCAATCAGGAGGCAGACTTACAGCCATGATTCCCTGCCACACCACCCAAGCCACTGCCCTGCAGATCAGGAACTCACATGTGACCCTCTCTTGGGGACCTGGTAGCCATGGGAAAGGACAGTCCTCGCCCTGTCCCTGCACCGCCCCATCACAGACAGTGACCAGTTACACCACTCCAGGACCTTCCTAGCTGACGCACTGAACCCCACACAGCTGTCAGCCCATTCTACAGCAGAGAAAAAGGTGGCTCTGAGGACAGCAGACCTTGGCCTGTGTCACAGCCTGGGAGCTGGCGGAGCTGACTCTGAACTCTAGTCCTGGAACCCTCTTGGGGGATGAGTTGCACTGACTTGGAGTAGGTTGAGGGGCTCCTGTCTGTGCAGCTTGAGACTGGCTCATAGCACGGCCTCAGCTGTCCAATCTGGCCATGTGCCCTGGATCCACCTGGGGTAAGTTGGGGAGGGTGTGGAGACCAATGTCTGCCTTTCCTCAGACTCCACTGCACACTTTCTCCAAGTGCTATCAACCACCACTGGGACTCTGTGTGTTCCAAACCACTCATCTGCTTCCCATCTCCCTCCTACCCTTTATTCACTTGCCCATCTGCCCATATAGTCATCCATTCATCCATCCATCCGTCTATCCTCCAACCCTCTTTCTTCCTTCTCCCTCTTCCCTTTCTCCCTGCATCTTTATAGGCAGCCAGCTGATTAGCCTGGTTTCTCTTCCCTCCTATTCACCCCCCCCACACACACACACACACTTATCAGGTAGAGTTCAAAGACCTGACCTCCTGACATGAACAGATACCTCCAAGCCAGGGTGTTCATTTCAAAGGTCAATATAGGTCACTTGGAACACAATCAAGTCCCTGTCTCCTTATTCCAACCCCTCCATGACCCAGCATCCTCCACCCTCGTCCCCACCCCTCTCACCCACTCAGCTCCAGCCACACTGGCCTCCGTTCTGGTCTTCCAAAGTGCCGAGCCCATTCTTGCCATGGCTTCCAAGGACCCTGCTCCCTCCCAGAATGCCCCTCGCCCACATCTCCCGAGGTGGAGTCTTGTGGGATTCCACACCACAGGGAGAGCCCAGCTCAGGCTGCGCCATGCACATTCTCCACATAGCACTGGGGGCTTTGGAAGCTCACAATGGCATTTCATTATGCTTTGTTGAAACTCCTTGCTATCTCAGCACTCAGAGCAGGACATGCAGTGGGCATTTCTGCAGTGATGAGGTCAAGCATAGGGATCTGGGGCTGTAAGCACCACTGTCTCTGCCACCAAGGAGCAAGCACAGAGCCCCTAACCTTGGGCTTCTTGTGCCTTTCAATTGGATCCTCCAATCTCCATCTCAGAGAAGGGTCCTAGGGCTATTTCTTGGAGCTTGTGTCTCCAGGAACCCAGCTGAGATTCCTGTTGCTGGCCAGTGGCCACTTTAGATGCTAGGTCAGGAATAATGTGCAGGGCACCTGAAGTGCTAAAGAAAGAGACAGGCCGGGGGAGTCCTGCACTCTGAGGGGCTGCAGGCCCTGGTGCTGGGAGGTGGACCGTTAGGCCACGCTGGGCATACAGCTGTCTTTTCCCTAGAAGCTGAGGACCCTAGAGAAGAAGCATCTTATGATGGAGAGGATGGACAGGAGGAGGAAAGAAGGAAAGATTGGTGAATGATCAGACATACCACTGGTTGTGGCAGCAGTGATCTAGGGTCCCACTAATGTCTGATGACTCAAAACAAGTATGCTGTCTATCTCTAGCTGTTCTGTCTGCTGTGAAGCCCCAGCCAGGCTTCTGCTGCCAAGGGCTCCTGGTGATAATCTCTGGCTTGGGTTCCATCTGTCTAAGGTCACCAAAGGCCACCACATGGGTTGCCCTGCTGTCCTCTGACAAACAGGTTCGGCAATGCTGTCTCCCAGTTTCTCAATGTCATCTGTACATAGCAGGTCCTCACCTATAGCTGCCAAAGCCCTCTCTTGCCATGGAGACATGGTGCCATTGCTCCATTCAGCTGCAGTTGTCCCTGCCCGTTGATCCTAAAGTCCAAGTACAGGAGGGTGGCAAAGAGGAAGAGTTCAGAGTGAGGCTAGAAGGGACTGTCCCTGGCTCTGCATACAGGTGGACAGCCAGACTTTTGCCTGGTGGGGTCATAGCCCAGAGTCCTCAGTCCCCTGAGGGTTACTTTCACTGCAGGCCAGGCCAGGAGGCAGCAGGATGGGGTGCTGGCTGGGGAGGGGCTAGGGATATATGTGGTGTACTGCCAAGCTCTGGTCCAGGCCTGGAAAGGAGGAAGGTTTGCAGGCCTGAAGCTCAGTAACAAAGACTGCAGGCCACGAAGCCACATGATGCTTCCCATCACCCATTGCTGGAGACAAGATTACAGTCAGATCCCCTTCCTGGAAGACTTAAGGAAGCTCTGTTTCTTGCCAGTCACTAGAGTAGGACCAATATCCTCCCTGGCTACTGTGGTTTGCTGCTGTCAGCTGACTGCTCAGCTGACGTGTCCCATTGCTAGATGCACATATTCCTGAGAACTACCTTTAGTTATTTTGCCTTGGGAGTGCAGGTTTTATTCAGCCTTGGGGTCGACTTGGGACAAGGTGTGCCCTTGGCTGACCTCCACTACATCTCTCCTCTTCTCTCTACGCAGGGTTCTGAGCCCTGCTTTTGCTTCTATCCAGCCGTCAGTGGGCTATTCCTTTCCTTAGAGACCTGCTCCCTTCCTCTCAGACACCTTTACCTGGCTTTCTGAACCTAGAAGTGGCTAGCCTGATGTGTATTACTGTGAACCATGCAGGACCCCTGCTGGGCTGGACTTCTTTTATGGGCTACACCCTGGCTTATGTAGACTGCTCGAGGAGCTTCTCCCTACCCAGCTGGGCTGGGCATTTATAGGTGGCAATGCAGTATTTCCAGAGCACAGAATCCCACAGCTAGAAAGAGGGTTTGGAAGATCCTACTGAGGTCAGGCAGGCTCCTGTGGGGCCAAGAACAAGTCAATAGAGGCTGAGATCACAGCAACAGGTAACAGCACTTCCTGCAGCACTCAGCAAGGTGGCAGCTGTCCTGGCAGGGCAAGATCCTGAGACCTTGGCATCCTGCTCCCAGGATCACTCTAGAACCCTGTTCCCAGCCTGCACCCAGGCTGCAGAAAGCCTAGGCCGGATGGGCATGTGGGCTCATAAGCACTGCCAGCCACAGAACAGTGCCCAGAGCTTCCACTGCTCTAACATGCCACAAGCAAGGTACATCCATGTGGTCAGTACTGGGGCAGCAGGGCTTGGACATGTTAGCCTGCAGATTCCAACTCTGCTGGGTCCAACCACCTGACCCCGTTCTCCCTGACTATGGCACCTCCTGGTCCCTGGCCCCAGGGTTCCTCACTTCCTCCTATCCTGTTGAGGGTCCCCATAGTCAAGAATGGGACAAAAGCAGGAAAGGGGTCAGCTCTGGCGGCACTCCTGTGCCCTCAGTGTGGGCCTCAGCAAGCTCCTTAGATTCTGTGTTCTATCAGGGGCATAAGAGGTGATATTATCACACAGCAGATAAGGTAGGAACAGGTCAGGCAGACACCCACCCTCGAGCCACAAGAATGAGATCCTTGTAAGAAAGATCATGATGTCTTCTCAGGGCCACACCAGGGACCACAATGGGGCCATCTGGGCCAAGCCCCTGAGAAGGAACAAGCAGAATTCAGGACTCACTTAGTGTCCTAACAGTGTGTGCTCATGTGGAGGAGATGACTCAGGGCAAATCCCTCTCTGCTGTATCTAGACAGGGTGGGGACCACAAAGCCAGGAAAAGGGGCTTCCAGCCTACATGCTCCATTACATCCTTGACTCTGTAAAACCTGGCAGAGAAGTCAGCAGGTCCCAAGAAAGGACAGCAGCCCTCAGCTGAAAGAGAACAGGCCTTAGCAGACATCAATTTAAAAGAACACCAAAAGGCATCACTTAAAGGAGTCACCTTGAAAGGCGAGTGGTAGCCATCAGTTAAAAGGACAGTAGCCACTATGCCAGCACCACACAATTGTATTTCAAAACTTTGCTAAGGTCCCAATCCCTGTAGCTCTGAGGATCCTGCTGAGAGGAAACTGCTTATTTCCTGAGCCACCCCGCAGGGACTACGGTGTGCCTCACTCTGAGGGTGAACACCAGCACGACCCAGAAACATGCCAGGCAGCTGTCTCCAGGCGGACTGAGTGTCTGGACTCAAGCTAGGTATTGCAAGCAGCCCTGGGGGAACATTCTGGAGCCCCTGGGCATACACCCTGGATGTGGGACTGTGCTTTTCCA